CTCCAATCAGATGTAAATCAGGTCTTTCAATGGGCTACATAAAATAATATTGTATTTAATGAAGATAAGTTCCAGCTCCGAGGCTACGGAAAAATAATAAAATATGAAAACAAACCACATTCAAAACGCAGTCAAATCATACCATAGAATGAAAAATAAATGTAAAGGATCTGGGTGTACTCATGTCGGAAGACCTTACCTTTAAAGAAACATAATAAAGTAACCGTCACAATTGCAAGAAAAATTAAAGGTTGGATAACAAGAACTTTTTAAACTAGAGATGCTGTACCAATGATGATACTCAAGATGCTAGTGCTCTCTAGAGTGGAGTACTGCTGCACAATGACAGCCCCTTTCAAAACTGGAGAAATTGCTGACCTGAAGAGCGTGCAGAGATCCTTTACTGCTAGAATCCACTCAGTAAAACATCTAAACTACTGGGACCGACTAAAATGCCTAAATCTGTATTCTCTTGAGCGCAGGCAGGAGTGATACATAATACTTTACACGTAGAAAATATTAGAGGGGCTGGTCCCAAACCTGCACACAGAAATAACACCACATGAGACCAGGAAGCATGGCAGGATGTGTAGAATACCCCCGTTGAGGAGCAGAGGTGCAACAGGTACTCTGAGAGAGAACTCTACCAACATCAGAGGCCCGAGACTGTTCAACACGCTTCCACTACACATAAGGGGCATAAGTGGCCGACCCCTCACAGTGTTCAAGAGAGAACTTGACAAACGCCTCCAAAGGATACCTGATCAACCAGGCTGTGATTCACAGGTCAGGCTGTGAGCAGCCGCGTCCAACAGCCTGGTTGACCAGTCCAGCAACCAGGATGCCTGGTCGAGGACCGGGCCGCGGGGACGTTGAGCCCCGGAATCATGACAAGGTAACCGCACGGTAAGGGATCATTGGAGTGTGGAGCCCAGAAGGTCATCTGGTTCAACTCCGGCGACGTGTCGGACCGAGGCTGTAAACCAACGCCAAAGGTCAGATGATTGTTGTGTTTACACAGCTCCAATGACCTCGTTGTAATGTCATCATTATTGTTCTTAACAATTAAATCGACAGATTTGGTTACAGTGTCTGGTGTTACCTACAGAGTGGAGGAGGACCTGGGACCAGCCACGCAGATAATATCCAGATTTAGAAGAAATCCACTTACATTTATCCGTTATCCAGTCGTGCAAGGAGACGGCTGACAGGGGGCCTAATACTAGTATTTAAAATTATTAAAGGACCTGTCAGTGTTGACTTAAAGAAAAAAAAAGTATTTGTCATTCATGACGGTCAAGAATGACTTTAGCCCATTGACGGCGTCAGAAGCTTCCGGCGCATGCAACGAATAGTCGGCAGTGTCGAAGGTCACCGAAAAATGTCCTTTCAATGAAATCTGACTGTGTGTGTGTGTGTGTGTGTGTGTGTGTGTGTGTGTGTGTGTGTGTGTGTGTGTGTTTTCCCTGAAGATTACGGGGGGGGGGGGGCAAATCAAGACAAAGAGCGCATGCTAAGGACGACACTAACAGGTGAAGTGTTATAGGCAAACGATTTCAGTCCAATGAATCGAAATCAATTTTATGAGTGGGAGGGAGGGAGGGAATTATCAGGGGAAAGTACCAAGCATTACGACTATGTAGCACTTGGAAGGAAGGGGTCAGGATAATTACGGGCTCACCATAACCCGTGCTACTTGGAACTTTTTGTTCTGAGTAGCTGAATCTAAAACAACAACAGCAACAACATCAGGATAAGGATTTGGGATGGGACGGGGGAAAGGAATGGTGCCCAATCACTTGGACGGTCGGGGATTAAACGCCGCCTGCATGCATCATGGCGGTTGGGGATTGAACGCCGACCTGCATGAGCAAGACCGTCGCTCTACCTAGACTGTTAGTTCCTTTGTATACGTTTGTGTAGGGTACATTCTGGGGCTCGGAGTGAGGTAGCCTCTGGCATGAAGCAGTGTAGTGAAGCCTTAGCTAGCTGGTAATGCTGGTTAAGTCTCTACCACACCTTCATTCTTGCCACCACAACACCCACTACCACAACACATAACATGGGGGCGGGGATGTCTGGTAGCTGAATGGACAGCGCGCAGTTCTCGTAATTCTGTGGCCGGGTTCGATTCCCAGACCAGGCAGAAACAAATGGGCAAAGTTTCTTTTGCCCTGAATGCCCCTGTTACCTAGCAGTAAATAGGTACCTGGGAGTTAGACAGCTGTTATGGAGCTGCTTCCTGTGTGTGTGTGTGTGTGTGTGTGTGTGTGTGTGTGTGTGTGTGTGTGTGTAAAAAATAGTTAGTAGTTAGTAACAGTTGATTGAAAGTTGAGAAGCTAAAGAACAAAGCTCAACCCATGCACGTACAACTAGGTGAATACAACTAGGCGAATACATACTGGGAGAGGGGGCTGAGAAACATTTTTCCTACATTCTTAAAAAGCATTTGACAATTTCTCGTGAAAAATTGGTGAACAAGAGGTATAGAAAAAAAAAGGTGAAATAACTGGTAAAACGAATGAACTGGACGAGTACCTGTCAGACAGAAAACAAAGGGTCACATCTCCAGTTTGGCTCCTCTGCCTTTGACAAGTAGGGTTCCCCCAGGTTCGGTACAGTGACCATTAATATTGCTAATGTATGTAAATGCTCTGCCGAAGTGAGCGAACTCGTGCTCGACGGCAGAACTAATGATAAATGTAAAATCCGAGGACGACTTTACGTAATATTACAGGAAGACCTCGACCCACTCCAGGAGTGGCCTGATGCGAGAGAATGGTTGTTTCTCGGCCGAACTTGCACACCCATAGTTAGATTGCTGTGTATTGTGCAGTATGATTATAGTTATCTCAGGTTGGGGTTCCATTGTGTTGGGTGTCATTGGATAGATAGTCTTATTTGCACTTCGGATAAAGTGTGAGTGAAGACGTACGACGTCTGGTTATGCGAGGACACACTTGTTCATACGCAATGAAATCTCATTAACCTGATGTATCAATGAGAATCAGTAGAAGCCATGAACCTAGTATTCTAGGACGCTAACTTGGGAGTACTACGTCTGCGGGTTCAGATCCTCCTCATGGCTCCTACTGATTTTATCTCATTGTATGACATAAGTGACTGGCCACCATCTTGGTGTTAGTGGTGGCAAGCGGACCTGCTTGTTAGGTCAGGGTGACCTCACTAAGCTGGGAGGGGGAAAAGTTGTCTCCATACTCCCATCTGTCATGTGAACCTAGGGAGGAATACGCAGACGATGAGCTAAGACCGTAGTTGCATTTTGATTGATTCATTGATCGATAGAGATTAAGCCTTCCAAGAGGTGGCACTGGCATGGGTAAACACTTGATTTGTTGTTGTTGTTTCAGATTTAGCTACTCAGAACGAAGTGTCCATGTATCACGGGCTATAGTGAGCCCGTAAACACTTGATTTGCATGTTGATTCCTTTTATCTTTATAGAAGTTATGTGAAATGAACTAGTGAGGTGTGGGCTCGTCTACTTGCACCGGCATGCCTGGAGGGGGGCTCGGAAGTTCTTCTACTCCTCGAGCTCGGCCCCGGGACCAGCACGACTTGTAATAACTTGGTCCAACAGGCTGTTGCTTGGAGCGGCCCACATATCCTCTACAACTCGGTGGATGTATGATTATCGGTGGGGACGTGGTAGTGGACTTTAATAACGTTACAAACCGTCCCAAGTACTGATACTCGAGAAGTGTTCAGCATCGGCTTCTCCCGCTGACTAACTCCTGCTGTGGTCGATTGATTGATTGATGAAGATTAAGCCACCCAAAAGGTGGCACGGGCATGAATAGCCCGTAAGTGGTGGCCCTTTTGAGCCATTACCAGTATCAAGAGCTGATACTGGAGATCTGTGGAGGTGCGACTGCACCCTGCGTGACGGGAGATGTCTCCCATCTGCTGTGGTCAATGGAACCAGATTATCGTGGTACTGAGGCCAAACAGCTCCGGAAAATGAAGCGCAAATTAGTTGTGTGAGTGCGCCGATTTTCTATAAGTACTTACAACAAATTTATTAGTACATTTGTCTCACATTCATGGCACTCTAGGGGTAGGCAGTTAGAGACTGTAGGGACTCTTGACTTCAGTCAAGAGTCCCTCCAGTTAGTAAATCATTTTTTCATCTTAAGAGATTTATACGTCAACATGCTATGTACTGTTAGAGAGGACAGGTTGAAATCATAGCAGCTCGCAAAAGTTAGTTTTCTGTGCCTGGGTCGTAGATTAGGTTAGGTTCGATTAATTAATTACACAATTTTTGTGAAGTTGACAACTGGAAAAGGGTGGCCTGCATAAAGAGTAGTCGCTAACCATCCCATCCCTCACAACTTGTGTGCCTCGTTTTGTGCACTATGGTCCCAGATGTACAAGATAAAGGGGTACTATGAAAAGTGGCGGCTCACAGTTAATTATGTTTTCTATTTGTAGGTTAGATTAGGTGTGTGATTTGGGTTCGTGCATTTCAGTATCCCATATTTTGTATGTTGTGGGTAATGAAGAGAGCGACCTGCACTGTTAGGTGAGCAGTATCACACCCACCACCTCACAACTACTCCCACCAAACTGTCTACTCGAATAATAGTTCAGTTTGATGTCAAAATCCCGTCGGACAAAAAAAGGGGAACTATACAATTATAGCGGCTCGCAAACATTCACGTTTTCTTTACGTGAGTGGATAGGTTATACTGTTTTAGTACCTTATTTCCGGTCCGTTGTGGTAACTCGTGAGGAAGGATCACTCCTTCTGTCTGTATGCCAGCATTTTGATATTGCCTTAAATGTACAGAGGGAAGGGCAATGTTTGTGTTGAAGAATATTCTTATTTTGATATTTCCTTGCAAAGGGGCCCCATGGGACCATGTGCAGCTTCAATCAAAACACATTTTAACTCGTTTTTTCATTGTTTTAAAGGTGTATGTGAATTTAAAGTACAGCTACTTTGGAAAAGACTAATGTTTGTTTTCTCTTCTCTAGCAGCACTGAGTATCACTGAAGGACCTCTACTTCGCAAGTGAGCGGGGACCAGCGCCCTCCAGCGCCGGCAGCAGCAGGAGGGGTGCACGCGGTGAGCATCGCGGGATGGCCCCCAGCAGTGCTCTCACAACATTCTGGTAGTTTTTACGTAATACGCCAAGGTGAGTCTCCGGTAAGCCTACTGCGATGTTCTCTTCCTGTGCGGGACGAGACGAGTACGGGATTGAAGGTCTGGGTGGACTGTGTATGAAATCTTTCACTTGAACGTAAAATATATCAAATGCTTATATTCTTGAAAATTGAATTGCCTTGTTTATTTGGGTTAATGGGGTTCCCATTTTTGAAACTAATTGTCGCAAATGTAAAATAATTTTGTCGACAATTTGGAAATTTAAGTATTTGTAAACGTTTAAGCTGTGTAAACAATTTTGATCGCTTGCTGAAAATATAATCTTGTTCCATTTAGAAATTCGCGTTGCTAAGAATAATGGAAAGAATTGTATTTTATATGTTTAGATTGCTCTAAACTATACTGCTTTGAAATCTCCATATGTATTACATACTATTTGAAACGGTCTAGACCAATTGCACCCCATTATTAGTTTGTAAGGCGAGTTTTATTTTTAAGGTTTGTAAGGAGTTCGAGCCCCAATGTACCACATTAGTTGCTCACCGTTCCTTTCCATAGTCATCATATCTCGGCTCAGCATTTCCAAGTGCTGATTGGCGTCTTCGTCTCATAATTGCCTTATCTTAGTCGTTGTTACAAGGGGCAGTGGCCTCGTTGTTACTGTACAAGATGCATGTTTGGTACAATCAATCCATTCTCGTTACAGATGCCAGGAAATTTGCGGTTCGGCGGCCAGAGTGGGCACCCGCCCCCCACCCGCGCCATGTCACTCGACTCCCTGCATGACAAAAATGTAAGGCATCCATGCACAATGCTTGATCATTTCTTTTTCTAAAATGTAAATGGTACAAGGTAATCTTAAGTGCAAATCTAGTAACTAACATGTACAAATGCATTAGAGTATTGGTAATGCACATTAGTACAGTCATTAAAATAACCCTTTTGTGCATCTTTCTTAATTGCATACAAAACCCAAGGTTAGTGAATTTATGCTCCACTGATAAATTTGTGTAATCGTTGTATTGATTATAATTTATCTGGAAAATAGTTTTGCAACCATTTCTTCGCACCTGTACAGGCATCCTTGGACCTTAAGGTCCGCGAATACCTACCCTCTCGCATCACCCGCACCTCCCCCAAGATTAACGAAGCTGCTATGCAATTTGTCAAGGTAAGTTTTGCATCTGCTTTGCACGTGTGTGCTGTTGAATGATGATTAATTAGCATGGCTGCTTGTGTACCTTGTATTATTTACACTAGACACTTAATAACTTGGAATTATTTTGAAATTTGTATAGTTTTGATATACTGTGTTCTCGTGAGTAAAATGATGTGCATTAACAGTTAATGTTTTATTTTCTCCCCCTTTTCTCTCGTTCTCTCTCGCGCGCTCTCGTTCTCTCTCGCTCTTGCTTTCTCTCGCTCTCGCTCTCTTTGTTGCTCTCGCTCTTTCTCACGCTCTTTTTCTGTCCCGCTCATTCCTTCTCTCGCTCTTTTCTCTTTTTTCTCGTTCTTGCTTTCGCTCTATCTCTTGCTTTCGCTCTATCTCTTACTTTCACTTCCTCTCGCCCGCTCGCTCTTTCTCTTGCTCTTTCTCGTTCTCTTGCTCTTTCTCGTTCTCTTGCTCTTTCTCGTTCTCTTGCTCTCTTTCTCACGCTCTTTCACTTTCTCTCATTTCTTCTCTTGCGCTCTCTCGTTCTCTCTCTCTCTCTCTCGTTCTTTCTCTTTCTCTCTCGTTCTTTCTTTCTCTCTCGTTCTTTCTCTCTTTTTCTCTTTCTTTCTCTTTTTCTTTCTTTCTCTTTTTCTCTTTCTATCTTTTGGCCTTTCTCTCGCTCTCTCGCTTTCTCTTGGTGTCTCTCTCTCTTTCTCGCTTTTGCGCTCTCTCGCTCTCCCTCCCTCTCTCTGTCTCTTGCTTTCTCTCCCTCTCCAACTTTCTCTTGGTCTCTCTTCTCTTTTCTCACTCGCTCTCCATGGACCTTTTTCTAGCTTCCTCCAACTCATTCACTCCGTGTTTTTCGTCGATCAAAGGTATTTGGCCAGGCCACTCACAATAGTAAAGTTTGTAATACAAGGAAATTATAATAGCGTGAATTGTAAATGAGAAAATTAGTAAGAGCAGTACAGGGATTTGAACCAGTGCCATGGTGAGCGTTTGGTGGAGAACGTCATTGCTGACACCAGAGTGCAGGCTCGCTATTTGTAAAACCTGGTTGTGGCACCAGTTCGGGTCTCCAGATCCCTGAGAGGACTCGGCCGAGTCTCAGGGTGAATAGCTTTTGTCCAGTTGTGACCTAGTATTCACCTAGTTGTACTTCCCTAGTTGTGCTTGCGTGGGTTGAGCTTTGGCTCTTGCTCCTGCCTCTTGACTGTCAGTCTACTGATGTACAGGTTCCCGAGCGTATCTTGCCTAGATTTGAAACGTGTATGGAGTCAACAACCACCACCACCGCCTCAGTGACTTTGTCACTGAGGCATTAGAAGAAAATCAGAATGCTGATGTGATATACACGGACTTCGCAAAGGCTTTCGATAAATGTGACCATGGCGTGATAGCACACAAAATGAAGTCAATGGGAATAACCGGTAAAGTAGGACGCTGGATACTCAGTTTTCTGTCAAACAGGACTCAGCGAGTAACTGTCAACCATATAAAATCTAGTCCAAGTGCAGTGAAAAGCTCTGTACCTCAGGGTACAGTCCTTGCACCGCTGCTTTTCCTTATTCTCATATGAGATATAGACAAAAATACAAGTCACAGCTTCGTATCATCCTTTGCAGATGACACAAAAATCAGTATGAAAATTACCTCGGCTGAGGACATTGAAAAACTTCAAGCTGATATTAATAAAGTTTTCGACTGGGCATCAGAAAATAACATGATGTTTAACAGTGATAAATTCCAGGTACTCAGGTACGGTAAAAATGAGGACCTTAAACATAATACAGAGTACAAAACACAATCAAATGTACCCATAGTAGGAAAACAGCATGTAAAGGATTTGGGAATAATAATGTCTGATGACCTAACGTTTAAGGAGCATAACCAAGCAAATATTGCGACAGCCAGAAAAATGATAGGATGGATTACAAGAACTTTCAAATCCAGGGATCCCATCACAATGGTTGTACTCTTCAAGTCACTTGTGTTGTCCCGTCTTGAGTACTGCTCAGTACTCACTTCCCCCTTCAGAGCAGGAGAGATTGCTGAAATAGAGGGAATACAGAGAACATATACGGCACGCATAGACGCAATAAAGCACCTAAATTATTGGGATCGTCTCAAAGCACTCCAAATGTACTCACTAGAAAGAAGACGAGAGAGATATCAAATAATATACACCTGGAAGATACTGGAGGGCCAAGTACCAAATCTACACAGTAAAATAACAACGTACTGGAGTGAACGATATGGAAGAAAATGTAGGATAGAACCAGTGAAGAGCAGAGGTGCCATATGCACAATCAGAGAACACTGTATAAACATCAGAGGTCCGCGGTTGTTCAACGTCCTCCCAGCAAGCATAAGAAATATTGCCGGAACAACCGTGGACATTTTCAAGAGGAAACTAGATTTATTCCTCCAAGGAGTGCCGGACCAACCGGGCTGTGGTGGGTATGTGGGCCTGCAGGCCGCTCCAAGCAACAGCCTGTTGGACCAAACTCTCACAAGTCAAGCCTGGCCTCGGGCCGGGCTTGGAGTAGAAGAACTCCCAGAACCCCATCAACCAGGTAACATAACCTCCTAATGCATTCCATTTATTAACTACTCTGACACTGAAAACGTTTTTTCTAATGTCTGCGGCTCATTTGGGTACTTGGTTTCCACCTGTGTTCCCTTGTGCAAGTCCCACTTGTGCTAAATAATGTCCTTATCCATCTGGTAGTCATCAGAATGCAGGTTCAAATTCTCGTACTGCTCTTACTGATTTTATCAGTAGTTTTTTCTATTTTACCTGTTATTTCCTGCGCTTGTTGATAAAATGAAGTTAATGCCATACCCTGAATTATGATTGAAGTGAATTGACACCCTCCCCTGCTGACGTGTGATAGTCTTTGGTGTTATCTGGTCCTTAAAACCATCCCATCCCACGACATTACTGAAGGTTGTCGTCACTGTAGCTACCACATTTGTGGCATCTTGGTTCCAGCAATTGATTCCTGTATGGTGAACTATGTAAAGCAAAGCCAAAGTAATATATACTATGTAGAGGAACTATTTTACAAAGCCCTTTGTTAGAATTAGTTGTATTTTTAGTATAAAGGCCTTGGTTAATGTTTGCAAAGTGTTAAATATTATTTACAGAAAAGTTTGACCTGGATGATTAACTTGGGTAGGTTCCCATTGTACAATATGCAGGGTTGTATTTATTATGGTTGTGGACTGCAACTAATCTCACATTTTTGTGATGTTCTTTAGACAGGACCAGCTGGTCTCTACAAGTCAGCAACTGAGCAGATCAAGAAAGCAGAGGCCGTAAAAGCAATGAGGCAACATCTGATTGATGAAGAAGCAGATTGGCAGGCGGTGGGTTCTTCAGGCTATATCATCTCATGTCTTTAACTAAGGGCTCTCCAGGATGGGAGGCTGGGGGGGATCACTCACTCTCTCAAAATTATATTCTTCTTTTCATACTTCCTTGGGATATTCAGAAGTATGTCTTATGGTGAAACTTCTGGAGGCATTCAATGAAGTTTCATATGAAACATGAAGTTTATCATTTTTAAAACATACTTGAGGGAAGGGTTAAGGATGTCATAAGTGCTATTTTTTAAGACGTTTCATTCATAAGACGTACCATTGAAGTGTGTTGTGCTCCTGTGGTAGTTCTCTCGGAGGTTTGATTATGAGCCTTCACTTTCCAGGATAACCTAACTAGCATGCCTTCTGATACATAATTTAACTTCTAACTCCTACCATTCCTTCCTACCCCTGTCCCATCCCAAATCCTTATCCCTTCCAAGTGCTATATAGCCATAATGGCTTGGCACTTTCCCCGTGATAGTTCTCTTCCCTTCCTACTTTTCATATATGTACTCATCTTAACACCCTTAACACCATTTTAGTAAACAATAAAAAAAAAAATTGATAGTTCTAGTGGCCTGTGTGAAGTAAACATATGTGCCAGTAATGGTTATTAACTTAATAATGTAATTCAATAATTTTTTTTATAAAAGTTGGCATATTAATTGTTATGTTTAAAGCACATACATACAAGTCATTGGATATAAGCGTTTCAAAAATTATATTAGAGTAGATATTGTTTTGACCTAACCTGTAATTGTGATAACCCAGCCTGGATATAAGCATGATCTAAGCCTGTGTGTGAGATACTGCCTGTTTTAGGCACAGGTTTGATCTAGTCAGGGTGTTGGTGTGATTAGTCCTGGGCTTGGGTGTAGCTCAGCCAAGATGTGGTAATGGCAAGGCTTGGATCAGTAGTGTGGCTTTGTGTGGCCTAGTGTGGCTTAGACAACACAGCCAGACTGCAAAAGCAAGCAAGCAGTCGCCTCATAACCAATTGGAATCGAATTTGATTCCTGGCCAAGGCAAAATGTTTGGGTACATTTGAATATATACTTTATCTAGCAGTAAATATATACCGATAAGTTAGGTAAGTGTCGTAGGCAACATATTGGAGAAGGTCAGCAGTAGGTGTAGGGGGAACTCAATAAACCTAACAGGCCTCTTGTCTTCTACAATGGGGAAACCATAATCCACTTTTGATTGCCCTTTAAGGGGGTCAATGCACAACTTGGTATAGGCACAGAAGCAACAGCCTAACAATGTCTGGCTAGGATGGTCAGGTATTCATTAACAGTGGTCTGAGTTTGTTATAAGAACTTTGCAAAAAAAAGTACCTTTTGCATTGTTGGAAATGGTTTCCTTTTTTACCAATAAAATCAATTGAATTGGTATACATAAATTTCACAACAGAATCCATTGGATGCATAAAGGCTATTTGTTCTTATAATGCTATAAATCACTAATTTCAAAGGAAGGATTCAGTCATACATTGACTGGGAGACTATATTGGTACAGTATTTACTAACATTCTTTTCTTCTCCAACTCTGAACCATAAGGGTGAATGGTTTAATTAGCTTTGTTAAATTACATTACAGGGATACCTGAAAGGACCATGGTGCTCTTTTATAATACTTCATAGAATGAGAAAGGTGTGGGTGTAGTTTGATATGGTATGTGGTGTAGGTGTGGACAAATGCATGCATTATATCACATGAGGGTTGGCACTTGGTGGCCATTTTGTGTATTCTCTGTTTGCATATTTCACAGTGTACAAGGTAAGGGAATGGCAAGTGTGACTTCGCAATTAACTGTCTTATTTTATGTATGGGGGTGTGTGTGTGTGCGCGCGCGTGCGAGCATGTTCAATTTGGCATATAGTGGATCTTTGATATTAGTCTTGAGTTTCAAGAATGAATAAGAAAATGCTGTAGCCGATATAGATTCAGTAGGCTTCATGAGGGTGCAAATTGCTTAGTGAGTTACTGTAATAATGCCTTTAGAAATTTAGGCATCATAATACTTGCTGTACACATTACATAGTGGTATGCTTTTAATGATAATGAATAACTGAGTGGCAAGATATGTTAAGACACTGTCATACACTACACATTCCTTAGGTTATAACACGTCTGTGCAGGTTTTAAACTTGGGTTGTTTGCAATTGTGTGGTACAGTACAGTATATTGATAAGTGCAATTACATGTTGACAAATCTGATAAAAAATACAAATGATGAATATAGATTGTGTTCCACTAATCTTGTTTATCTTTATGCACACTTATAAAATCAGAGATACTGTATTAGAAATTAAAGCAATTGAACAAAAGGTGGGGGATACGTACTTGGCTTTTAGTGGGGAGGGAAGAGACAAGAGGAAGAGAGGCGTTCCCAAACGCCTCCCTTCTCTAGTGGGGACAGGAGAGGATATCCCAGCCCAAACATCTACACTGTTATTGTAGAGAATGAGATTGCTGACACAACTGGTTGGAGATGGTGGATTATGGGTGCCTTATGAGAAAGTTGAAGTTGTATAAAAGTATATTTTTTTTGAGAATTCCCGATACGTTTGGTTGTGTGAGAGCTTTAGGACTCGGTTATTGCCCATTATCTCTTCTCAGATTTTGTTATTTGCTTTATGTATGTCTTGCTAAATATTCACACATTTATTTAAGTTGAACTGTATAGAAATATACTAATACATATTTAATAAGTAATGCTTGAATGATAATAGAAACTGTATAATTAATGCTAGAGCATGATGATTCTGTGTGAAGTACTAACCCCAAATTACTGTGATATTGAAAGGGGATTTTATTTCATAGTTTCTCCGATTGAACAACATTCTCTCTTTGAGTCAAAAAGAATGTCGCGCAATAAGAAACATGTGAAGAGATGTGCCGACACATTTGTCACACATTATGATAGCCTTAGCATGTTCAACCATGCTTTTTACTTTCTCCTTTACATTAAATGTATATTTAGGTTTATTATCAGTGCCCAGTTTTACTCTCTAATATAACTACCCACATTATAGAACACATTTTAACTTGCAATTATTACCTCAAAAGAATCAATGTTATTATTCTTGTTTGTAGCTCTGATGTCAGACAAATAAGCTCGGGTTCTCGTGTGTTGTTCCCCTGTATGCTACACAAGTTATGATTAAATTGCCAAGTACAGTAATTCTATAACTTGTATCTTCATAGACAAAAGTACCAGAGGTATCTAAAAAGTACAACAAAGCTAATTGTATTGTATGTAATCAGCACAGAAGATAAGTTAATTGACTTGAAGGGCTACAACGTGCAAAATATGCAATTTTGTATGTGTAAACATTTTGGCTGCTCTTGCTTTAAAATACATTATACAGTACTGTACTGTATATACATTATACTGTATACATTATACAGTTATCCTATTTCAAATAATTTCTATACATTTTTTTGTCATTAACAGTAATTTTTTTTTTTTTTTTTTTTTTTAGAGATTAGTGTGGCCACTATAGTGTTCAGTTGTGTGGTAGCGATTTACCTTGCTGTAGGCTAGAAGTAGTGTAGTGTGGAATATTAATATGCCAATTGACAGTACCATAAATATAACCTTAAAAGGTTAAAATCTAACCTCACTAGCAATATTAACTGTTGTACTTTTCCTAACTACTTTTTTTTTTCTTTTGATCTTTTTTATATTTTTAAAATAATTTTATGTTGAGTTAATTAGTCGAGTACAATAGTTGTTCCATTATACTAGCTTTATTATTATTAACTAAAAATCTTTAACAATATGTAATTGTAATTCATTTGCATTTATTGCTTTTTGAGTTAGGATTCTGTGTGTGTTGTGTGTGGTAGCATTACTCTACATGATCCTGTGTGTGTCAGTAGTTTTGGGCACAGGAAGTCACTGTTAAAATAAGTTACTGTATTACCTGATTACATGTAAGCTCAGAGACTATAGGATGTACCCTCTTATAATAAGCGTTATGGTTCACTATTAATGCTGTGATCACAAAGACCTGTGCTTCAGTTATCCGCAGCTATCTGCAAGAAAATATAATTGAAAACTCTAGCACTTTAGTGTATGAACACATTTTCAAGAAGAACTGTACTTGACAGTTTAATACAGTACACAAAAGCTCTTAAGAATTTTCATTTAATGTAGCTTGCAGATACTGTACTTGTGCATACGGTATACCCTATATATAATAATGATACTGTATGTACATGGTAGTGTATATTGTGTAATGAAAATCTAGAGTATTAGTGATTTGATCTAGTGTGTGTTTAGGTGTCCTAGGGTGCAGTGATTAGATCAAAAGAATGAAAACTAGAAAATCATATATAAAGTTCTGTATGGGTTGTGAAAGATTATCAGAATGATGAAACTGCTTTTTAACTGGAACTAAACCAATCCCAATCACTGTTGTTCATGGTCCTCCAAGTTCACTATAATTTGAAATGTGTAATTATCTTGCCAGACTGGGATAACCACAGATTTCAGACCCCATTGTGTAAATTGAGTAAATGTGAGCTTCAGTCATGAAAAGAGATGATAAATATAATTATTTATTTATAAAATATACATAGGAATATTGTACAGTGTTATAATGGTTACAGAGTACATATGTACATTTAATAAGGCCACTAATACTCAAAGCATTTTGGTCACAACTTAAAAGAATACAGTGAGGTAGTTTAAAGGTACATTAAAAGTAATGGGGGGGTACCATGAGCCAGTTGTCTTGCACCAAAGTACCACAGGAAAGGAATGATGTGGTATGATAGTTTCAGTTTCAGGTGGAGTTTCAGGAGTATGATAACCGTTAACCCATGTGGTACCATATGATTCTGTGGTTCCAGTTTTCTGAATTAGTTGCCACACAGTGTTAGCCTGCAGTACAGGGACACTTCCAGACTTCACCTCGAATGTAACTAATACAGGCACTCTAAATTTGTAGCTCAAAAGTTTTTGAATGTATGTATACATTTGTGTATTTGACATTCATACGCTATATACAGTATATTCATCGTGTATCAAAAGTCTGGCCGCTCGGTATAAGGATGCCTAATACTGTATTATACAGTAATCATGTGCACACGTTTCTCTAGTTTTTTCTGCTGCCTATTTATTTCTAGATAACTTGAGAATACTTCTCTTCACCTTGAAGTATACACCATCTGAATGTTTCAATATAAAACCTTCTTTTTCTGAAGTGAGCTGATTATCTCACCAGATGTCCCCCTTCTTTTTATTTTTGTTGTTGTTTACTGTTGGGTCAGTGGTGGAGCAAGTGGGAAGGACGCAATAGTCCAACTCTTTGAATCTTAACTTTGCTCCACAACTCGCCTTCAGTGAGATGCTCCCTTTTATGAGCAGAAACAAGTAATCATTGTAGCTTTCAAGGTATGTGAAAACTCAAGTTATCACCTGGAAACAAAAACATAGAATTTAATGTCCATGAAGATGGTACAGTGCCCAATTTGTCAAATAATGCAATATTCTCATATTATTGGGGCAGAGAAGGATGAGGGCGGAGGAAAAACAAACAAACTGGAGAGGGGGGAAAAACAAAATTGAAGGAGAGGCAGCTTTATTTTTAAGAATGCCAAATTTCATACTTGTACAGTATGAAATATGCTGGCCATTAAGTTCAGGGATGTGTTTGAACATTCTCATTATGATAAATATTCAAATGTGATGCAGTGCATCTCTAAATATTTTCTCTCATGTATGGCCGTAAGAGCATTAGCAAACTATTCATTAGAGATATCACTACACTTGTATGTTGGCCTTCAGAAAATTTATTGTCCTTGGCCGTGTGTTGAGAGTTGCCGTGATGATCTCGCAAAACATAGATTGTGCCTTCTCTTCCTGTGTGTGTTCATGCCATTATTATTCTTATCTTGTAACACAAGAAAAAAGTAGTACGACATCTCTATGGCGTCAAACTTTTGATACACCTGTATATTACAGCTTATCTATGCTCATTGCACAGTGTATATAAATGTGTGTATCTTGATAATTTTTTGTAAGTACAGGTATATATGTGTGATTATACACATGTATGTTGAAATATTTGTCATTTATTACCATATTTGTTTTTTTAAAGCAATTCCATGTGCAAGACTTCCTATGCCTATTACTGTGTTTGTATTTTGTGTGTAATTACCTAAAGTAGTTACAGGAAGAGAGCCAAGCTCATGGTGTACACATGTGTGTATGAGAGAATACAGCATATGAATGAATGAATTGTGTGCTAATGCTTAATTTTCTTTCAAGTTAGTACTGGTAATAGTGTGATTGTAAAAGTGAATGCATGCTTGGAGCACTGGAGTACATGTGTAGTGTATTGGCCCTCCATAATGTGGCTGTGGGTATAGAGTATGTAAGAAGTCCACTGACAGTGTCCTATTCCTCCACTAGCAGCCCTCCTCCTCCTCCTCCTCATCCAAGAACCCGTATGATGAGGGCTCTGACTGGCAGTCGGTAAGTGACCGGCACTGTCTTTACTGTTGTCACGGGCAGTGCCGTTTCTTTGTTTTGCGTTTCTCTCTCCATTCTTTATTTTCATAAATTCTGCACCTGTAGACGTGAATGCTTCACGGTTTAATGTTATGGTTGTGGTGATACACTTGGTTACTTTGAACATTTATACTGTACTTTATATACAATATTATAATGCTCACTTTCTCTGAAATTCCATGCTCTCTTGCTTTATTTTTAATATATCACCAATAGGTAATGAAATTATGTTAATTAATATAATTTTTTTTATGGATATGCCCTAAGTTGTTTTGTATTGAAAGCCACATTGATATATATATATATATGACCACTTGCAGGTAGGTTTATTGTTTATAAAATGTCCATAACTCATAATGATTTGTTTTGCTTTCAAGAGACATGTGTAAGTTAGCACTAAGCATGCTTTATGTATGATGATGCATTTATTTGTTATTGTATGTGGTCACTCTAAGCCAGCTAGTGTGAAGGATTCATAATACAGTGTGGTCACTCCAGGCCAACTAGTGTGAAGGCTATACTGTACTGTATAGGCTAATATGGTTGACTATTTGTTGAAGTTTCCAGGGATTAATGGCCCTATGGTCCGGTCTCTGACCAGGCTGCCTGGTTGCTGGTCCAAGCTGGTTAATGCAAAGCCGATGAGCCTTTTTGCACAATGCTTTTCTAAAAGTAGGGGCAGGCATTGGGAGGTTTGTAAGGGCAGGCATATGGGAGGTTGTAGGGGCAGGCATCGGGAAGATAGTAGGGGCAGGCATCGGGGAGGTTGTAGGGGCACGCATTGGGGGAGGTTGTAGGGGCACGCATCAGCAATAGGGTGAGGGAGGGGGATGAGGGAGGTGATGGAGATCACGTTATAAGGTTTCTGAACCCTTGTGAATGCACATGACTTGTAACAACAATACATTGATTTTTCATTATTGTGGTCCCCCAATTCATTTCATGCAGGTAAGAATAAGTTGTAGGAAACCTAATTTACACAGTGCATCTTGGTCATTTGAGAAGTCATATATTTCTAAACTGTTAACACGAGCGTATTAGAGAGAGTTTGACGTGAGGGGACTGATCGGAAAAATGTTCACTCTGCTTAAGATTATTAAATTGCATTTGTTTGTCACATGAGATTTTTGAAAATCAAATGAATGAGGGCGGGTGCTTGTCAACTGATTTAACTTGCTATACAATCTCATAAATCATCATGGGTAATTTTAAGTAACTTGCCTTAAATTCCAGACCATCTTGATATTAAACTTGACCAATGGCCCTTTGTGTATGCGAGATTTTGTGATGCTTTTATGCTTAAACATAATATATTAGTCCGTTAGAAATATTGCATCTCTTTATATCTAATGAAAGTCTCGTTTCAGCACTGGAAAATTTTGTTAACGTTCCTTGAAGATAGTTGGATACAATGTCACATGGGTTTTGCATGATAAATCAGGCCTAAAATTACATTAGTACAGTATTAGATTAGTCATATTCAGTTTTAGGACTTATGATTTTAAATCTTGATCCAGTATTGTCAAACTAAATTGTTTGACACTTTTCAAGTGTAGACCTACTTTTCAAAGTAGACCCTATGCCCCTGTTACCTAGCAGTAAATAGGTACCTGGGTGTTAGTCAGCTGTCATGGGCTGCTTCCTGGGGGTGGAGGCCTGGTCGAGGACCGGGCCGTGGGGACACTAAAGCCTCGAAATCATCTCAAGATAACCTCAAGATAGGCCCTTGAAAACCCCGTGGGCTCGGTGGTACCAAGGATACTTCTTCCAAGTCCACTCTCGCTGTCTTCGAAGTTGAAAGTTGTTGTTCGTCCTAGCCTCAGGGTGACAATCATCCATACTGCCTCCGTTATGCTGCTTATTGGGTCAGGGGCACCACTGACAAAGTCTTGCGGGACTTGTTCCCTGCTTGTACTTCAATTTACTCATTCCTTAACTGTTGATCTCAGGATTCAGGTGGTAGTTGCGTTGTATGCTCGATTCTCCTTCTTGCAATGTGGCAGGTTGGTTGCCTGGTTCGAGGCCCCAGAGCTGCCCCACATGGGCTTTAGGGACCAGGATTTAGGGGTGTTGGCTGCTTCGACTTTGGTTCAATCTGCACTGCCCGCTTCCATCCCTGGTGGGCATGGTTCACCCTCCTGCTCTTTTCCCCCCCTTTCCCCTGCTTCTGACTCCCAGACGTTTGAGGGGTTTCGAAGTTGGGGTGGGTGGCTCAGGATGAGGCTCGGGTGACTTCGGGGGCTGCCCCTTCAGATTCAAGCACGGAGATGGTTGAATCCAATTTTCCCGCTGAGGCTTCTGGGTTCAGCAGACTCTTTTCTTGGGAGCTGCTCCCTTGGACACCACCTTTTCTTAAAGGGTGGTGGACTATTCTGGAATCGACACCTTGTGCCTAATGTTGTCTCTTCTTATCGCATGGCATTGGCTGAGCTGCTGCAGCTTAGGTTCTGGGTGGATGATACTTCTGCTCCGTTCTGCAAGTTTCGCGTGCATTTTTTTTTTTTTTTTTTTTTTTTTATAACCCTCGAATACGTTGTTTCCTTCCGGCAATGTGTGGCTTTGAGGCCCCTGTCGCAGCCATCTTTCTTCCTCGTCTTGAGACTTACCCAGGAGGTGGGGGCACCGTAAGTCCCTCCTTTTACTTATCTTTGGGTAGTTAGCTTCAGGGAGCCAATGGGGCTCCCCACAGAAAACAAGCGTTGAATGTAATGAAACTATTTTCTGGGTGAGCCCCGGAGGCTTCCTGACACCCTCCCTCCCTCTGGTTGGCGTTTTTTCATTGTTCAAGAACTAGAATGGTGGACTGCCATCTCCTGTGAGCGGGATCCCTCTCCAGGGGAGGGGGAGCTGGCTTGTTTTTGTGAATTTTTTAAAATAGTCATTGAAGGGAACTGCAGTACTTATGGTCAAATGATAGGGTTTAAGAGCAGTTGCTCAACCTTGAAAACACAGGTAGGCAAGTACATCTTGGTAAACATATGCTTAAACACGCATAGGCATGTGCGCATACACAATCCATACAATGTATACTTATATACTTTGTTAGTGTTAATTTATTAATAGTTTTGAAAATTCTTCTTAAGTAGTATAGACGGTATCATTTCAAAGTAAAACAGCTTGACTTTCGTGGCACACACAAGCATAAAATATTCAGATGCATACAAATTGGTTATTTTTCATAATTTATTGTAATGCCTTCTGTAAAATGATGTTTATTGACTATTCATTTGTTCTGATTTATCAAGTTAACTTTGTTTTCGAGTAACTTACATTAATATATACTAGATTACTATAGAATACTGTACCTGCTACTAAGTTGCAAAAACCTTATAAATGTCATTAAGAAGCCTGAACATTTTATGATGAATTTTTCTTTAATAGGAGTTAGGATTTTTTTATTACTCTAGAAGCTGTTGGTATAATTGATAATGATATGAAAATAATTTGAGCAATATTTTACAGAACTTGGACAAGTGGAAGAGCTCGCGTCGCAAGCGCAATGAGGAAGCTTTGGTACGAGCCATTGAGATTAAGAAAAACGAACAAGAGGACGAGTTGATCCGCATGCGTCGCAAGAGCAAAACCTTTAGTGAAATCCAGGAGGATAAGTGAGTGTTAGAGCTTAAAACTTGTGTATATATTTATACAGGTTTGATGAATTTTTCCTTCAATGTGAATGGTGTACGTGCCACTCAGTTAGGTTGAACACCGTTGGTTTTCAACCCGTAACTGGTCGAGAGAGAACACACTTGTAGCTTTACCCTTAACTAGGCGTACCTTAACCAGTTAAGAAATTCTCATCCTACTGCAAGGTAGGGTACACTGGAATGCACACATTGTATTAAAAATTCTGTACAGTAGTATGAAAGACAATACTGTATCTAGTATAAATATTAGTGAGTATAGAAATATACTAGCATCAGTTTGTATTATACAAATGCAAGTATTAGGTGTCTTATTATTAAATTTAATTATTCATATAGGTTTACCTTCTGGTTCTTGTTTATATATCAATTTGCTTATGACATGTTAATTTGAAAAGTTATAAAATTTGCAAAAAGTAGTTTTCTTCAATGAATATTAATTTAATCTTAATCTGTTTACCGGTATATCAAATAATACATTTTAAAATTTATTCTGAAAGTGTTAATCTGTGTGTTCCGTGTCTTCAATTAATTTAAGAATTTATTATTGACTGTAAGTCAGTATTTTTGTTTTTATAGCAATGTATTTCTGCACAATTTTCTTGACAAAAGTTGTTACATACATGCATTCGTGTACTGTTTATTTCTTGTATCTCCCATGTGGCTACCTTTGCAGTCTTTTGGTATATTTTAGTTTTTCTTCTGAATTCATTCAGTTGTTTAAGTACCTTTATAAACCTGATATTTTCCTGTAACTCATTGCTACATAGCCAGCCCTTCAGAATATTTTATATTTTAATTAGAAAATTTTTCTTCACTTCGTTTAAACATAACTAGGTTTTCTAAATTTCCATATTCATCATATTGTTACTGTATACTATTAAGAATATCTGCTTTCATAGTTCAATTTATATTTTTGATTTTATAGATTTACCTTTCAGTTCATACATTAGAATTGCTAGCTTTAATCTTTCAAATAGTTTAGTTTACAGGTTTTCAATATGGTCATTCATTTCCCAACAGGACCAAAAGAGGACGTAGATATAACCTTGTTGTCCACAGTGATGACAATAACGATCTCAGTGGCCTTGGGCTATCATCTGCCAAGAGCACAAGTTCCCTCAATGATGCTCACGAAGAAAATGACGTTAAAGATCTTGATCAAGACAACAAAGATGCCAAGAGTGATGCAGGCTTCTGCACAGGCTCGGACACTGGCAGTGACGGGGTGTTTGCTGAAGATAACATCAGTGACACATCCTCAGCTTTGGTGAGTATGATTGTGTGTGTATTAATGCTTCGATTGCAGTACAGTTAAACACAGAAGAAAGGTGCAGTTAAATATTTGTTGAAGAAAACTATTGTATATAATGTAATTGTTGATTTTGAAACAATAATGAAAAAGCTAATGCTCTTATTACCTTTTGCCTTGAAATGTATAATTGTTGATTTTTTCACAGGGTGACAAGAAAGAGGCGCATGACTCGCTTTTGGATCCTGGAGTATCAAAAGAAGAGGAAACTCACCTTAATGGTCATGGATCTAGCCTGATCACTGATGTCTTTCACTCCACTGCTGCAACAATCCACACGGATGAGTATACATATGACAAGGCTATTGCAGGTTACAAACAATATGCAGAAAACAGTGCCAAGAAAAGAACAAATAGCATCACAAGCTTGAATAGCAATACAAGTTATACCAAGGATGACGAGAGAAAAGATGAAATGCCTCGTATAAATGGCCGTTCACCAAGTCCAAATAAAAATAACAAAGTAGAGGAGAAACTCAACTTCTTTTCCAAGGAGATGGAAAAGGACTTTAGAACGAGTCCCGAACCTAGAGTTACACGGAGAGAGAAGTCGCCCAAAGTAGATATTGGGAAGAGAAGATCAATGTTTGAAATGCGAGATGCATCACCTGTTCGAAGTGAGAGGGAACAGAGGCTTGCCAATAGGAAATCTCTTGAAATGTCAAGCTCTTTACGTCACAAAGTAGCATCATTTGAAAATCTTGAAACAGAGATTCCTAAAGTACGAGGCGTTACTCCAACTCGTGATACAAACTTGCGTAATAAAGTTGCATCATTTGAAAATCTTGACACGGAGAGCACAAAGGTGCGTAGTATGACTCCACAAAGAGATACAAAATTCCATGAAAAGCTAGCCACATTTGCCACTAAAGATTACGAGACACAGCCAATAAGGAAGAAAACTCCAGAAAGAGATGCTAATTTCCATAAAAAACTTGCATCATTTACTAGCATCGAGAATGGAGAAGAAGATAAGATGTGGGAACACAAGACCATCCCTCAGAGAGACCCAACATTGAAGAACAAAATTGCATCCTATGAGCAGCTGGAACAACTGGTAGATTCACGTTCTTCAAATCCTCGGGAAGACATGCTCAAGAGCAAAGACCGTTCAGTCAGTTTGGAACATCTAAATGAACCACAGGTTAAGGAGGTAAAAATACGGCCAGCACGTTCAATGATGAACATCACGAGGCGTGTTCCATCAACTCCTTATATGGTGGTGGATCTTGAGGGTTCTAGGGTGGAAGAAAAATGTTTAAAGCAAACGCTAACAAAATCCATGGTGAGTGATGAGCCAGATTCTTCTAATGCTCGGGATCCAGCTAAACGCTCTACCATCTACGAAACTGTTGAGAGGTGCCAAGTGATTCGCGATGTTGAGTCTGCTCCTTTGTATTCTATATTCAAGTACCTCAGCCCAGAGGTTTGTCACACGTATAATCAGAGCTTCTGTGTGTGACTTTATTTGCTATTAATACTGTTATATGCTTTAGAATATAGTAACTTTTGGAGTGTGTTTTTGCAACATTCAAGTAATATTCCCTTTGTACAGTTCCGTTTTTGTTCCAATAACCAGATTTTCCTTAAAATTAAAAATAAAAATAAAAAACCATTTGTACTAGAATATCTAGAGATACAGTACTGCACCTTATAAAATTTTTTTTTAATAGAAATCACAATAACAAAATACTTGGCACATCTATTGTATGATTTAGCACAAAGCCTTGACAAGGGGAAACTATTATATGTAAAAGTAATTTAGAGCCTTTGTTACGTTACTGATGTCTGGAATGTTGCTATATGTGGTAGCATTGGGAATGAAGAAAGAGATTGCACGAGTCAAGGGGTAGTTTCAGCTTTCGTAAATAAATAAATGCACATCTCGATGCGTATGGACTGAACTGTCAGTTTGCGCATGTACATAAAGTAAATATCTCATACAGTCTATCAGTTGCTGATCATTTTAATTAAGTCAATTAGCTTGATATGCGCTTTGATGATGATTGCAAAAATAATAATAAATAATAATGAGTAATTTTCTAGGACACCGAAGTTATTCAATGCTAAAACCCTGGCTAATGCACGAGAGTAAATTGTGTGTGAGATTTTGTCGTACTGCTTCAGATGTATACAATTACTCCAGAGAATGCTTATGGCTTTTAAAGATATTGTACATGTAGCTTGTGTAAAAAGGCTTATTTTTTTCCATACAGTAGCTTATATTTCTGGAAAGCTATGCTAAATTTGTCTTGTTTGTCACATAAGCTATGATAAGGATTTTGTAGTCCTAATGTCATTCTTGAAGCGCATTGCAGATTATTTTTTTTTACATTTAATAATGAATACAGTTTGGGGACCTGTTTATATATGCATGATGAGTTCAGCTTTTTGCTACTGCAGCATCAACTGTATCCTTATTTCATGCAAATATTTGATTGCATATACAGTATAGTGTTAGCTCTATGTCCACCCACCCCCCCTTCATCCATGGCTTAATAACGGTAATTTGTGATTCAGTATTTCTTTGTATCCATCCATTCATTCATTGGTACATACTATATCAGTGTTTTAATGTTTACTGCTGGGCATCAGGAAATCTGATTGCAAACACTGTTGATTGTTTTTAAAGATGAAATGGTATTAGTAGAGTTTTATGGTGTCTTTATTAATATATAGTATATATTCAGTTTTATAATAATAATAAGAAAAATAACAAGGGCTTTATAATAAATTTGATACTTTGTTCCCAACCGTAAATGTTCTGGGTTTTCCCGAAACCCCGCTCAGCGCTGCATAAAATGTTTACAATCACTTTGCATTTTCCAAGTTATTTGTTTGGTTATAACTGCATATTTGATGTCAAAATGTTCATAAATTAATTAGCTAGAGGATAGATGCAAAAAAGGAAAGTGTATTTATAAAACTGCATGTCAGCGATGAATATCCTAATGTTTATGAACTGTTTAATATTCCTCATTTATTATTCATCCTAAATAAAAAGTAAAAATTGCAGATTAGAAATGTGCGCCATTGATCAGTTTGTACAGTTAAAGAAAAGTTGAAGTTATTTATTTTTAAGGTAATTTGCAAACTTAAAAAAAAAATACATGTGCTCAGATGCAGGCAATGAGTCACAATAACGTGGCTAAAGTATGTTGACCAGACCACACACTAGAAGGTGAAGGGACGACGACGTTTCGGTCCGTCCTGGACCATTCTCAAGTCGATTGTGAGTTGACCATTCACAATCGACTCGAGAATGGTCCAGGACGGACCGAAACGTCGTCGTCCCTTCACCTTCTAGTGTGTGGTCTGGTCAACACACGTGCTCAGAGCTATTGCTATCTACCCGTGACATAAAATTATTTACATTTATTTTACATTTTCATGTTACTATATTTAATGGGTTATAACTATAAATTTGGTAATGTTTGCAAATGAATTTGCTAGAGTATATCTATACAAAAAAGTTTGTCATTGTTTAACAATACTGAATATACAAATTTTTTTTGCATGTGAGGCCTCATGGGTGAACAGGATGTTCTGGTTGGCCCACTCATGCCCTAGATATGCTCTGTCCACACAATAACTGATTTTCACATGTTTTGGGATTGGCTGATGCAAATAGAATAGCTGTGAAAAAGTGAAAAGGGAAGTGAAAACCGAAAATTTTGCAATAGGATGACTCGTTTTATCATTGGAACATTTACTGTCGGAGTACAGATGATTTATCATGATCAGAATGCGAAAATACAAAACCGATTCATTTTCTTTAAACATAGGCAGGTTTGAGTCTGCTTTCTTTGGTATTAATAATATTAATTATTACAATAACATAAAATGATAGTTATTTAAGAAAGTCCCTTGATGGTAGATTTAGGAGATCAAACTATAGTACAGTAGCTGGAAAAAAAAGAACCTCATCATTTAGTATATATTGCATCTTATTCTTTGTCCTAAAGAAATTTATGAATTGCATATTAATTCCAAACAGGTGAATGCCCAAGTGTTTGAAATTGCTTCCAAACTTGAAGAGACTCCTCTCTTAGGCTCTCCCACCCATAAGGCTCCCACAGACCCCCTGCCTCCTTCCCCAACTCTTGAAGATGATTCACTTGAGGGAGCTAAACCCTATACTGATGATGATATTAATGAGGTTGGTTTTGTAATGCATCTTTAATTTGCCGTTTTTGTTTTGTTTTTTTAGTCTTTTAATTTTTGGGAAATTGTCTTGTAACCATACACTGTCCATGTTGTTATATCATTTGCATGTGTTTGTGTGTGGGTGTGTGTGTGCTTATGATGTCATTAATTTTATACAGGTTATCAGTGATTATGAACCAATTGGAGGTTCATATGAAGATTCATCTGGCTGCCCTGAAAATATCTACGAAAATATTACCGAAGAGCCAATGTATGAGAATATATATGAGAAGGTAATCAAAGATATTTTATGAATTTGTTGATAAAAAGCTGAGGACTTAAAGCTCCAATATTTATTGTTGTGTATTTAGAGTTTTGCTTGTATACAAGCCTACTATTTAAAAAGAAAAATAAGTTTTCAAAAGTTGCATTTTACTTTAAAACGGTTTCAAACAATTGTTTCAACTACCAGTGTTTGCATGTCAGTGGCATCAGAACCTATCAGTTAAATTTTGCTATGTAAATATTAGCCATATGAACTACAGTATAATATAATATATTTATTATAATATTTGCTTTACAAAAATATGCACATTCATGATAAATACACTTTATATTGAATCTTTTTGGAAGTTTTTGGTAACAAAAATCACAACCGATTGTATTTCAGTGACAGATTACAAAACATTTGCATCATGATTGAAGATACTCATTTTTCATAAAGACGTAAGAAATTTATTACAGCTTTTGAGTGCTTACAATACAATAATACATACACCTTCATCTATTCAAATTAATTTGAAATTATTCTGTATTAAAGCAAGTTTTTGCAAAGTTAGTAGTAGCACAGTGTACACTGATTGGCTTCAATCACCTATGGCTTGCAGTTCCATGAGGAAAATGTCGGACAAGTGGTGGCTACTTGAGTTTTGACCTTAACAAATGCAAGGCATTGGGGATAAGGATAGAAGCATTAGAAAAGGAGGCTGGCAGAATCAAATAATCTGAAAGGGAAGTAAATTCTAGTCAGAAAAGGGGAAAAAATCAACGAGTGGATATCATACCAAATCTGTCACCAGAAATGTGTGCAAACAGGGTAACTTCAAGAGCATATACTGTACAAAACTTGTAGATGTTATAACATTCAGTCTCAACCAAAAAAAATAAGTTGGGAAAATACAAGATGGAGGATCATGAAGAGGGAACATAGGGGATGCATTAGGAAGAGGGAACACAAGGGGATGGAACATTTGCTTACAAAAAGCAAGAAAAAGTAAGAAAAATACATTAATCTTCATCGCTTCTGACTGTTGGGATACAAACGGAAGCTGGATGGTGGGGGGTCTGTGTGTGTGTAATGCCAGACACAAGATTTGCAGACAGTAGTGCAAGGGAGACGAATCTGGTTTTATTTTTGTTGCTTCACTTGTTAGGTTACACAATGTAGTGCTGTTGAAATAATTTAGATTTATGTACACATAACTGACAAAAATGATAACTGTAGTTACATACTGTATATAGACCTATAATGTACAGCAGTACTGTATGTACATCTAATGCACATAACCAGTTTCTGACACAACTCATTGTTTCTACTTTGCTGTAATTTTGTCTGGGAATGTTGTTGAAACATGGATTCAAACTAGTCGTAAAGACCAGGTTATTTGACGATAAGCTCATTTGCATTGTAAACAAAATCTTGAGACTAACGGAAGGACTTTTGACAAGCGGCCAGTTTCCTGTCTCCTTGAGGCTAGTACTAGAAATGAGTACTAGAAATGGTGGTCGCTGTTCAGGGGAATATAAACTTGCAAATCTCAAATACACTTGCTAAAACATTCAAATAACAGTGCAGTATGAGCCCCTGAAACATTTACTAAAGACCACTATACATTAATTTGGCCATCATGTGAATAAAGTACTTACCACTTACTATTGCACTTTGAAGATGATTATGGTGCCTCCTAGAATATTCAAGTAGAACAGTAGGAGGTAAGAAATAGGGACTAGTAGAAAAAATAGGATTTATTGTAAAAGCGTGGATGAGGTATAGTACCTTGTTTAAATTTCCTTATGTAGTGTTTCTGTGAGAAACTGAGGTGAACCAGTCTACTAAATTTTAATATAATTTTGTAGACTATGTGCTTTTATAGACAGGGTTTTCAAGCACTGACGTCGTTAGCTATTACAAAGGCTAATCCCAATTTTGATCTTTTTTTAGTAATCGTATTCCAGTCCCAGGTGAAGGCTTGTTCAGAATGCACAGTACTATTACTGTACTGTATTACAGTACAGTTATCATATTTTACTTCTTGACTTCTTTCACTAACTTAATTTATTTTCATAGCCACATTGATTGTTTTACATAGGTTGGTGATGATGATCACAGTGAAAGCAAAGATGCATTTGATCATCATTACCAAACTCTTGAGGAGGTGAGGGAGGAGGTGAAAGTTAATATTGAACAAGGCAAGCCGACACCATCCCCAGCGATGACAGCCTCCATCAGTCCTCTTCTCGACACTCCTGAGGTATGTTGGAAAGAGACGTTAAGAACAATTTTCTAAACTTCCAATGAACTCTTGTTATATAGTATTGTCATTTATTGAGAACATTATTCTTCTTGTTGGATGACTGTTGTTAAAATATTTCCATAAGACAATGACTTTGTCTAATATAGATCTTCGGTAATCTTATTCTGTTCTTCAGTTACTGTTCTCTTACTTGAAATAATAACTAAATGTCCTTTGATTTCACTAGGTTGTCAGATAAGAACATTGATACATTTTGTGTGATATATTGACTGTAATTTATTGAGAATAATAATGCACTTTATCAGCTGTAAGCTGGCATGAAGGGATGGAAACTGCTTTTAATGCTTCAAAAATATATGCAGTTAACAATACTAACAAATTAAATGTTAACCATTAAAAAAATAATCATGGGATGTAACTTTAAAATAGCATCTAAAAAGATTAGCTGATGTTACCGTAGTGAGGAGATTGTTTGATTTCGGTTAACTGTAGTTAGATTTATCACTTACTCTGGCAACTAAAACAACTGACGGAGGACCAATTTGCTTTCTTTTGGGATTATCTAGGCATGCATTGAACCCCAAGCACTGATGACTTTGGCTTATATAAACCAAGTAGTTGTTGAGTTTGACTTAAAAGGCAAATTATTACTATTTTTCATAAAATGTTTTGACTGTCACTCTTCTATGCTAACTTTACAAAAGAATTGGTGCTTGAATCCTCAGGTATGGGCAAGAACAGAGGATCTTTGAACAGAATCTTGGGTGATGGTGACTAACTTGTATATTATAAGAACTTGTGCATGTGTGGTATGGGTATGCTTGAGGGTATGCAGCGACACTATTAGTTACAGCAAGGGACCACCACCTTTTTTTTTTTTTTTTTTTTTTTTTTTTTTTTTAACCTTACATGGAATTTATATCATTAAACGATAGCTTTTATGTGCTGTCAGCATATTGCATTTTTTAGCAATCTTATTCAGTAATCTTCAGTAATCTAATTTAAGAAAAATTACTTTTACACTTAATTTACTACATCCAATCTGCAAGATATTTATTGAATGTAAATTTGGCATATATAATGTGCAATACTACAGTACTTAAAATTGGCAAGTTTATCAGAATTTTATGAACACCTCTGTCAATAATAGCTTCTAATGGGCCAGCGAGAGAAAAAAATTAGGTAATACATAATAATATGCTCTGGAAACTGGCAAGGAGCAGAGCTGGTCAAGGGTAAGATGGTATTACATTTAAATGTGCTGGAAGATGAAGATTCGTCTGAGGATAATGAGAATTCAATTTTTTACTGCTGCTGCTTGGTGGGAAATTATACATTTACATCACAGTATATAGGCTTTGGCAGTATTGTGTGTGGCACTGAAGAACCCCTTTGGTGGTGTATTCATTCTGTGATACTGATGCTTTAGAAACGGGTGGTAATTCACACCTTAGTGGGTGTGAAGTGCCAGGAATCATTAATCCTTAAACGGTGCAACTATTTAAAAGTACTACATCGAGGTGCACATGATTAAAATTAGCTAACAAATCAAATGGGAAAAATTTCAAAATAGTGATTTGGAGCAGTGTAAAGGTTAAAGTTAAAATTAAATTACATACATGTACTGTACTCATATGTTGACTAATCTGGCATATTAGGGAGAAATATAATAACTATTACAGAATATTTTCATGTTCTATGCTCACAATGTGTAAGATAACATATGAGAATACATTCAATTTTATAAAAGATTGCAAAAGTCATGATTATTTCTTCTCTTAAGCCAATTTGTGTGAATAGTGCAAACAGAAATCCAATATATGGTAAATTAGTGTTTTATGGTAACATTTAAAACACTTTTCTTACTGTTAAAAAAAAAAAAGCGGGCAAAGTCAGTTAATCACATTACCCAAGAAGTGAATGTTTGTATCATTTCTTGTAACTAACACGTTTAATTTTAGATGGTGCTCTATTAATCCTTAAATTTTATCTGACTAGCTAGTGATAAATAATGATTTATTAACACACGTAATTTTAGTACAGTATAAGAATTAAAGTACTCATATAGGTCTTTATGATACGATATTCTTGTAGTTTTCCATAGGTTTTGTATACAAATGGTTTTTCTTGGAAACAATCCTCTTAACAACCGTTAAAATTCTCTTGAGCAACAAACATAGTGTCGCAGCATACCTAAATAGCATTTAATGCATGAATGGTTCCGGCACTGTGCCATGGGTTACTCAGGTGCTAGACGTGACGTGGACGGACGGCCCTACCCAGGCAGCCCCACCCTCGGAGCCCCCTCCTCCCCCTCCCCCTGATGATGATTCTGACATCGATGCATCAGATGAGCCACAAAGTCTTCCAACTGAGGAAGAGGTGGGTATAGTGCCAAAATATAATGATTCAAAACATTTACAATGTTGTATTTAATGTATACTGCTGGTGTAGGTTCTGTCATTTGACCTATTGCTCTAGGTAGAGTTAATATGTACTCCATTTGAATAGAATTAGTAGAATTGTATGTCATGGCATTGGTCAAGTTCATCTTTATCAACTTGGGGAAACTTTTGATATACCGGTACTATACCTGGGAAGTTGCTGCTCTACCTAGTGATAAAAGATTAAGTAAATAAAATTTCATTTCAAAACAATATAATGCAAGCTAGAATACTATAGATTTTTTCTTGTATGCACTATTGTTTCCTGACACTTGTTTACATCACATTGTTAAACTGTGCACAAGGTTCTAAAAATCTGGCAGCAGTTGTTAATGTTAGAATATCTGATTTGCACCGTCTACATGGGGTCTTTTAGTTATGGTCCTAAAGTAAGACTGTTTTGTTAATATTCAGTACATATTACAAACTTTTATTGGTGTTTTCTGTTCTCTCTAATATTTATGTGTAAGACTGTTTCCTGCACTGTATTTTCTTATTTTTCTTACAACCCCAGAGGCATTTCCTTTGTCATTGTTATTGCTAGTTAATTATTGATGCATCATATATTGAGCATGAAACTTTTGGATTAGTGATAGAAATGGGGGGTGGTATGTAGGTGTACACCATTTACCTATTTTTAAGTTGACATTTTTTGTTTATGTACTGTACTAATGTTAGCTATACTTTGTCAAGTTTCTACCAATTAAAATTACTTGTTTGTTATTTGTGTGTGTGTGTGTGTGTGTGTGTGTGTGTGTGTGTGTGTGTGTGTGTGTGTGTGTGTGTGTGTGTGAGGGTAGCAAACACACGTTTATGTGTGCAAAATATTAAGTACCTCAGGATGTTAGTGATTAAGAAACTGAACACAATCTTTGATCCCATAAAGTGCATCACTTTATGAACACAACACATAGAAACAATAAGTGTGTCACTTAATTTTGGAATACACTACAGCAGAAAAAATCATGAGGAATCATCATTTCCATAAATTGTATGATGGCAACCTAAGTTTCCTCACCGTTGGATCATCAAAAATTCCTTGTTGTCCATTAAGTGCTTAATATTATTGTAACACAAATAAATATAGAAAAACCATAATTAAATAATAAATAAAATGAATAAAGTGGTGGAAAAAAAAGTGGTGTTTTGTTAATGTGTAGGAGGGAGCGAGTGTGAGGGGGTCATAAGTCTAACAGGTCCACCCTTATTTCCATGCTGTCATTTCCATTAAGTGAAATGTATTCAGATACAGAAATTATATTGCATACCCTATCAGGATAATGCTAGAAAAAGGAAATAAAAAAGAACAAGCCACATAAACAAAATACTGTATATTCAAAACCATCATTATCTAGTGCCCATACTGTGACCACCACCACTGTTTACCACCAGTAAATAGTAGGCAATACTTGCCTACTATTGAAAAGATTACTACAAGAGAACAAATACAGTTGTTAGAAGTGTTCTTCAGCCATACACAGTTAATGTGTCAAATGCCATATAATTAAAAAAAAAAAGATTGGGCAAACATGGCAACCAGGATAATTCCACCTTCCTGAAGGTAGTTGAAATTCTGAAAAATATTCCTTGAGATGATAGTGACACACTCCTGACTGCCTACTCAGAAACTTCAAAAGGTTGCAGACAAATAGTACTGGATACACAGGTACTGTACCAGGCAAACAGGTACTGGAGGTACCAAACACACACACTGATAGGTGAACACACTGATAAACTGTCATGAAAATACAGCTTCATACTCACCCAGGTATATGATCACATAGGAAATCAGATATATGTAAGTACTTTGGTTGCTGATAGAAGTAAACAAGGTATGAGCACAAATCCATCAAGGCCAAAGGAGACTGAGCAACAAAAGGACTCCATAGCATCTACGCTCATAATTACCAGCAGAGCCAATACACAAAGCACGTAAGACAAGAAGAAAAAAGAAATACAAACTTGAAACCATATCAACATCATTATACATGGAGCACTGTACTGTATATGCAAATATGAGCTTTCAGGAAGGACTAATGGAATATGCAATTATGAGCACCAGAAAAATGGTAGAAATTATGCTCAAATAGAGTACAGATAAATTTTTCAAAAAATTTGTAAAATTTCCCACCCAGTACTGTAAAAGCTTGCTAAATAACAAAAAAATGTTCTGAAAGAGACTACTATAAGTTCTGTATCAGGGGAAGCCAGGCGAATAAAACCAGCTAAATGTCAGAAAAGCGAGCTACTAAAGCAGTCCCAACTCTTCATAACAGGGAGATCTTTTTTTTGTCAGAGGAAGAGAAGACGAATTGTTAGAAATAACAAGACTAGTATTTGAGTGAGTTGGTGGAAGATGACAAAAACACATTGGCACCTTTACCAGAACCACAGATATTAACACAGTTAAATAACCAGAACTTTCATAGATACGATAACATCATTTGTATTTGCCAACATTCAGGGTAAAAAACACATGCAAAACAAAGGCCATTTTATGGCTGGCCTCCTAAATGAAGGAAATGCAGTGTTTGCAGCCTTAACTGAAAATCTCAAAGGATTACAATGGCAGTGAAATATGAATACCACTACCTTCCTTGTGTAGCTTACGGGGATCAATGGCTCCATGGTCTGGTCTCCGACCAGGCCTCTTGGTTAACCAGGCTGTTGGATGTCGCTGCTTGCAGCCTGACATATGAATCAGAGCCTGGTTGATCAGGTATTCTTTGGAGGTGTTTGTCGAGTTCTCTCTCGCACACTGTGAGGGGGTCGGCCAGTTATGCTCTTTATGTGTAGCGGGGCGTGTGTTGAAAAGTCTTGGGCCCTTGATGTTGATAGGTTCACTGGTCTTTAGCTTCATTTTATTCATTCTTCATTTTATTCTTCATTTTCTTCTACCTTCTTCATTTTATTCTACCAGAATACAAGCTTTTCAGATGTGACAGGAAACACAGGCTTCAGTACACCCAGAAATCACAATAGTGTGATACACCAAATGAACAAATCCAGTGAACAAAAACATTGAGGGCAGTAGCACTCAAAGTTGCAATTCTTTTGAACATGTTGTGGTGCAATCGACTCGAGCACATCCGGGATCATCCCGGACGTAGGTTCAAACCCTCATCACGGCCCTTGTGGATTTGTTCGCAGGCTTCAGGGTGGGGTCAGCCTGTACATTAAACACTCCTCTATATTGAGTTGCTAAACCTTATAAATGATATGGTGGAAGTGATGATAATCAATGTATTAGTCCTAAAGGTGTTGATTGTCCATGTATGTAAATCACCAGATGCAAATCCTTGGCAGTTTAAAGACCAAGTAATGAAAATAGAATCCTGTTTAGAAAACTTCACAAACCCAACCCCAATCATCATCTTGCGTGGTGACTTCAATTTACAGCACCTACAATGGAAATTGTAGCAAGTACTATTACATCGGAGTGAATCCCAGTAAACAGTCTAATTATACAGTCACAGACATGGGCCCCGTATGGATGTGTGACAGGTTTGCCTTAAACCAGCAGATAGTAGAACTAACTAGAAAAGAAATCACACAAGTTCAGTATTATTAATAAACTGATTGAATGGGAACTAATAAAACAAGAATAGCTAAATAATGCTTACCTATATCATGCCTCGAGAAAATAGGCACAGTAGCACTAGCATTATGCTAAAGTCACATACTACTAAGAAAAAAACAAAGAGAAATGATGCAAATTGGAATGAGAATCACCCCTCTATAGGTGAAGAAAACAAATTGCAGGGCAAATTAAATACTCCACTTTGTCCCAAGAATGACAAGGGAGGCTATGTAGAGAAATAGAAATGATCAAGCTAAACCTACAAGAATCATATACAAATCAGAAGAGGCAAAGATAGAATTTAAAGACCAGTGTAATAAAGAACACAAAATACTTTCTCTGATGCAAAATCTAGAACTAAAACCTACATCTAGCCCTTGTTCAAGAGATAGAACTGTCCCAGATGACAGCAAAGAAATAAGTGAAATACTGAGAATATAGTACGATTGTTTTCAGTAAACCCCTGAAGACATTAAAGAATTATCCAATTGGATTCTTTGCGACTGATACTAACATTGAATTATGTATCGGATGTCACCCTAACCCCACTGAGCTTTGAAATAACTGTGGACAGAATGCCATACACTTCACACAAGGCCTAGATTTCTGGAATTCTGTATTCATCAAGAATTGCAAAAAACATTAAAAGCCCTAAATGTGATATGTGGACAAAGTTTAGATGCTGATGTTATTCCTGATACTTAAAACAATGGAGATATACCACACATCATAAAATTTTGAAGGTATGCTAAAATCGCGAAACGCAATATCTACATAACCTTGGACAACATTTGTTATCCAATAAAAGCTGATCAATAAAAGTAAAGAGTTTGCAGTACAGTTTGTCAAGTGCAAGTGGTAGAAAATTGAAGCATGACATGCCTAAAGTCATTTGAAAGATAGATAAATTCTAACCATGACTCTGTGTCTGCCACGTGTCTTCTTGTTAGCTGCCCATGTGTGAACCATATAAGGTAACCACATATGAACCGATGTGATGAACTGCATGTATCAATGGTGAAACCCGCACCTTGCGCAACTCGTGTTGCCACGTTCCTCAGAGCATTTTTTGCACCACCCCTGTGCTGACTTGCCACATGCCCATTATCAGGCCCATGTGTGTGAGGGATCTTGTTAAGATACATGCAGTCAATACAAATCAAAGAGACCAGCATGTCAGCCTAATAGCAAGCTACCTCAAGGAGCCAACTGTTTAGATCTAAGTTAGCTGAGTGTGTATGAGCTGTGAAGGCCAACATGGACCAGTATGCAGAAGTACCAGTACTCCATTTTGAATTATTGATGCTGTTGACCTGCAATGGGTGTTTGTACATGGTATCAAGTTTGACAGTAATAGTGATACTGTAATTACAAGCAATATCATGTCATTCGAGCCAAAGAGGGTGACTGTATGTCACCCTCTTTGTCACCACACATCACACATGCCAGCTTGTGTGCATGTCATTATTTGTGATTAATGAAGTGTTCCGAGTATATAGAAGAATACTCAGGAACCACGGTGATGGTCAGATTCCAAGTTCCATGTTACTGGTTGTGAAAAGATAGCCAAGTCTTGATGATTGATTGTCTAAAAGTGTTAAGAAAGGAATGTCGATGAGTGTTGCCGCGTGATCAGTTGGAGAGAATTTCAAGAGTGTATCTTATATACAGTATTAGCTTTTGATGACAGCAATCAGTAAAGTTGCTTCCTGTGCATTAGTTTGCAAGTTCTTTAAATAAACTTATATTTTTGTACATTCTTGCTGCAGTTGTTTCATTCCAGTCCCTCAATGGGTTCTTTCACAGTGGAGGGCCGTCTCGGATTTGCATGACCTATTTTGCTCACATCCACTTGGTTTTGTGATCAATTCTCCCTTTGGCTTGAGTTGGGCTTCTCAGATTTCTCCATGGTTAGCATGGGTATTTTTTTTACCCAGATGCATGTTTTGAATGTTCACGTTTTGACCAACCTTGATGACTGACTGGTTTGGCATGCCAGCCAGTCCACATTAATGCAAGCCACGAACTGGTCATCTCCCAGCTTGCTGGGTTCAGGTTCCTAGTAAACTAGAGTAATCCCCAGTTAGTGCCATCTCAGGTTCAGACTATTTTGGTCCTGATGTGGGATTCTCGGTCAGCTTTCCTTTCTCTGCTGCTAGCAGCTCTGCTCCACCTGCAAGATCTTTTCTGTCTGGTGTTGCAAAGGCCCCAGATTACTTGACGGTTCGTTGAAGGGTCTTGGCAGCTCGATATCTAGTTAGTGTTCCCGGTTCCTGTTGAGTGTGTTGTTCTGGGTTGAGTTTCCATCCTGGTCTTTCCTCTTCAGGGGTTTGATCTTTCTTACTCCCTTCTCCCATTCATACTTAAATGAGAAAAGTCCCATTTTCTCTTTTTGTGGTTAGCTATAGGGAGCCACTATTCGACCCCTCCAGAAAACCAGCTTTGAATGGAATGGAATCGCCAAATATACATCAACCTCTCACTCTCACACACCAAAGTCTGAGCATAAGATGGGTAAAGGAGCGGGTGATACGGCTGGCAGTCCCCCCACTGGCTTGGGAGACAAGCCTATGTAGACCTAGCAAGGCTCCTCTCTCCCTGTCTTGTCTATTTATCTATGTACAGTATCTCAAATGTACAGTTCCACAGTTATTTTAAGGGGGAACTGGGAGCTAAACTTTGTGTACCAAGAGATAGCCTGGGCTATCTTCCTACCACACCTAGACAGCGGCTTGTTTGATGGAACAAACATAGCCACCCGTCTGCAGTTATCAGCTTAGCAGAGAGCGAGGTCACCTGACGCGACCTGACCTCTACAACCTGTGACAATTAACACTTGAAAGGTGTAACTTGAAATGCCAAGGGCTGACAGCCTGGCGCCGCCAATATCTTGCGTGACTGACTGTCGTTGTATGTGAAATATTAAATACAACCACTTAAGGTGTTACAACTATATAAACAGGAAGATGAGTTGTATTATATGAGTATTTTGTGTAGATTGTTTAATTCATATTATTAATAATATATACAATGTTGTATTATTGCTAGGTATTATGTTATTTTGTTAGTACCATACATAGTTTGATTTATTGCCGTACTGTATAGAATTTGTCTTGCATGTGAACAAAATATTTGTATAGTTATTATTATTATTGGTAAATTATGATGTATAGTAGATCAGTCTGACTGTAGGAGCTATCTAGGAAAGTAGAACCCTGTAGAGTATTGTATTACCTGTAGCTTTATTTGATTTGAATATTATATTCACTTTAGTGCACTGTAAGACTCTGCATTTCATATATTTCTCTCCACCTTCACTTCTTTGACTAACTTTGCATTTAATATCATATATGCAGTCATGTTTTGTTGACTAGAATGTTAATGGATAAATAAATAGCATAAAGTCCAGGGAGTGATCTTTACGTCTTTGTGTGAAAGTATCGGGCATCATGTTTCATAGCCAACATATTTACATGAATTTATATTTACTATACCATATTGATGTTGGACTGTCATCTTGTTTAATATGGCAATGTGTTAATAATATTCATGGAGAACTGATATGTTGTTGCCATTCTGCAGAAAAAATATTACATAAGCTTTAATACAGTATATGATGGTGTCGTTATGTATGTGTTATGTTTGTCACAGTGGATGACAATATTAGGTTTCTTTGATATTTACCTCTCTTAGAGGCTTATGTTTATTTCTAGCACAGATAAACTGTATTCTTATTGACTAAGTCTCTACATCTAGGACTGCTTCACTCGGGAGAACTCTACACGTCGTCTCAAAAAGGAACTTTGGAGACGTAGATCAGACTTCTTGGGTACCTCTTCACAGTACATTGAAGAAGGTAGGTATGGTATATGAATGTAAACAGAAAATAATAACAGGAGAATTTAATTTAATAGCTAGTTGTCTTGTATTATATATAAATATACTGTTTATACTGTACAGTGTAATATTTATTAGGTGATATAAAGAATATAGTAGAACAAAGAATTGCAAAAATATTACATATATAGGTATAGGGTGATAGCCTTGGACTTTTTTTTTTCCCCAAAACCAGTGATATTTATATCCTGCTAATCAAGCTGGATTTGGGAGTGATATCAAATTTACGGGTAGATGAAATAATGTTTGTGGAGTCGTAATGCTTGCCTAACAGTCCAATGATAATGATTGTAACAGTCTCCACAACTTATGTTGTCAAGGCAATGTTACCTCAAATTAAGTTCAGACAATCTGTTACAGAAGAATTTGGTCATGAGAACTTTCCCTCTTAATTTGGAAATAATTATACACAACAGAAAATCCCATGCTGGACAGAAATGGTTTGGTGTATTTCCTGTTACCTAATGTCCTGTTTACCTAGCAACAAATAGGTACCTGGAGTTAAGTCAGCTTGTGAGGCTGGATCGGTAATTTGGGGAGGGTTGGTAATTTGACCTTTGGGGTGGGACGGGGGACTTCGGTGTAAGCCGAAATAAATGTGAATATGATGGCTGCCTTTCCCTCATCACAAGGAATTAATTATTATTTATCAGAATTCTGGTCACTAAATCTTGCAAATGAATAATTATCCACATGTTCATTTTCCATAGGAACATGAGGTCTGTTACATAAGTAGACACATCAAATCTCTGTGGCAGTTTGCTGTGGTTGCTGAGTAGGCCTTGCACTGGGAACATTGTCATATCCATCAGGTTCATTCTGTCACTGATATGAGCCATGTACATAGTCTATCACCACCAGGATCATTGATTTCACTATAATTGTAAAATTCTTGTAGTTTCTTATTTATTTCATTATTTGTAAGTGATGGTGTAGCGTGAGCTGCATGATGGTGCTCAGAGATGCTGTTGCTGCACATGCTACTCATGCTTGCCATGTTAGTACTGAGGTAGTACTGTACTGACAGTGTGCCTATCACCTGTGGCAGACTAGATTGGCCCTGTAATACTCAAACGTCCTGGCAATTCTGTGTGGACGTCATTCAACACCAGAGACCTCTGGCAGTCGTTAGTCATATTAGGGAAAAAATCCTGAAATCCTTAGTTTCTTTCCTGGCTTAAAAAAATTGGCACCATGTCGGGTGCATCGCCTTCCATTGACTGATGCCCATGCTAGGAACCATCGACACCTTGCAAAATGGCAAGGACTTTTATGGACCAGGAAGATACTAGTGACGAGAAATATATTACAAATAATGAACTAGAAAATCATCCCTTGGAATGTGATGTCATCGACATTTCATCAGCTCATTGTGGCCAAACTAAAATGAAGAGAATTTGTTGTTTTCCCTACTGTTTTGCGATATAGAAAGTTTTCTTTATGCACACAATGAAATCGACCTTAACTTGCATATGCAGTTAGGGGGGGGGGTAATAATGGTTACAGATAATCGGTGACATTTATATGATGTACATAGGTAATTTCAAGATACATTAGATGATTATTTACAGTATATATATATAACCTGATAATTGTTATACATGAATTTATTTATGCATAGGCCTATTTATAAATGATTGTATATTACTGGTGGTGGTAGATATAGTAATTCAAATAATAAAAAATTCAGAATTATACAGGAATAGGAACATGTTTAGATAATGTTAAAAGTAAATACATTTTTGCAAAGCTGCTATAGTGAATAGTGGGCTGTTATTTGTCTTTGTTATTCTTTTTTATATGCTGTATATGTTGATAGTAACAAGTTCTAAAACACTATATGTTCACTTTTTGAAACAGAATCAACAGTGAGGCCTCCCCCAGACCTCAGTGATCTTCTGAGGCAGGAGCGTGAGGCCGAGCGGAGCTTGGTGTCTAGAAATTCTATTCATGAGGTATGTACATAATCTTGTTAGGGTTGATAAGCTCTTAATTAATATTATTATTATTATTATTATTATTATTATTATTCTATTATTTGATTATATGCTCATATGCTTATGCTTTTGCAATGTGAATCATTAAATCTTTTCTGGAAGAACACATCTCCCCGAGTCTCTGCTTGGTACACCAAACCCTGACCCAACACATCATGCCACTGACATCCATCTGTTGCCTACCCACTAGCAAGGTGCATTAAGTTAGCAGTGTAACAGTGCTAAATACGTATGCTACTTTAAGTTGCTTAACACTTTCACGCATCACGCCCGCCACCCCTCAACTATGCATAGTGGGTCCCAGCGTTTCAAGGGAACGCGCGTTAATTCTGAAAAGTGTATACTCTCTTCAACTTTGTCACCTCAATTCTCGTCCTACGAGATTAAATTTGGTATCATTGTGTTCGCAATAGAATTTTCTATAGCACTCAATGCATATAAACTCCAAAACCCCAGCTAATTACCCGCAGCAAACAGAGAAAGTGCGAAAGAGTTACCCAGGAGCGCGCAAAAGCGATAAAATGTGTTCACTCTTTTCACTCTGGTCACCTCAATTTTCGTCCTAGGTCTTTCATTTTGGTATCAATGAGTTCGCTATAGAATTCTCTAGAGGAATATTAGCATATAAAATAAAAAACGTGGTCATGCTCCACCTGCCGACGAGTTGAAGACGGGCTACGCGTTAGCCGCGAGTGAGCGCCCAGACGCCTTCCAGCTACACTCTCAATTCCTGCCCACAAATGTTTAGTATTTTTACCGGTTGCTAATCTCAATTTTCGTGTTACAGCGCTCATTTAGGTATGAAATTGTTCCTAATAGAATGCTTTAGATGGATATGTGCATATAAGGGCCAATTGAAGAACAATATTGCCAGTACAATACGCGAAAGTATGAAGAAAAAAATATACAAAATAATACAACTTATTGTATTTACCACTTCAGTGTTGTATGTTGAACATGACATGGGTTGAACATTTGTTCAATATATTATATATTGTGTTCAATATATTATATATTATATATATATTATATATATATTATATATTGAACACCAGTCCCTAAAAAATTGGATAAAAACCTGATTTTTGACAATTATTTTAGTAAACGACGCAGCATTGCGACATTACCGAGATTACCGACAGTAAAAATATGATGCAATGCTGCGTCGTTACCGGACGAAAGTGATGCAACTCTGTGCAAATATGATAAGATAATGTGTGTGTATATATGACTTTCGTATCTATCTTTGTTTTAAATTTATTTATTTAACGTGCATTTTAAAAGTTAAATGTATTTTACACAATTTCAGTAATGGTATATGAACACAGAAATAAGAAACAGGCGAAGTGCAGTTGAAAGTTGCATCAATTACACAATTCCCAATGGGAATAAGTTTCTTGCCAAGATCTGTCTCAAATCAATGAATAAAAATGAATTTATAATGTAGACCTTTGTCAAAACCCATATTACATGATTGAGTTAATTTGTATTAAGCAGAATCAATAATACTGCAATTATATTTCAAATACTCTTAAAATTGGTGATCAAAGAAGAGCAACTTAACACTTTCGCACGGGGATGATGCAGTATGGCGTAGAAAATGTATTACACAAATGTGCAATAATGATGCATCTGTGTATCAAAAATTTAAAATTTTGCTAATGCATGGCCTGCTTTCGGCTTGGCTGTGGGTGGGGCATGCCGCGATTTTGGACATTACTGTATATGCATATACCCCTATAGGGAATTTTATTGCGAACACATTGATAGCAAAATGAATTACCTAGGACGAAAATTGAGGTGACCAAAGTGAATAAGAGTATAAACATTTTATTGCTCTTGCGCGCTCATAGGTAACGCGCAGCCGATTTTTTGGTTTGGTGCGGGTGGTATGCTGGGCTATTGTACTTTATATGCATATACTCCTGTAGGGAATTCTATTGTGAACACATTGATACCAAAATGAAAAACCTAGGGGGAGAATTGAGGTGGCAAAATTGAAGAAGATTATACTATTTTCAGTATTACCACTTGCTCATGTGGACTGCCCAGCCCACCTTGGGGTGGTCTGGTGCTCGCTCGCCCACAGCCCAAAAGTGTTAAGAAGAAACCTCAATGAATCTCATTTAATGCAAGTTTCCAAATAATTTAATATGTATACCAGTAATGAGCTGCACATGTGCCCCTCATCTTCTTGAGAGAACCAGAGTCTGATCCTGGTTACTGGTAGGCTCTGTAAGTCTGAAGGAGGGGCCTGATATGAATAAGGACTAGTGCCCTAAGCTCCAGGGAGTTACTAAGCACAGAAGTGGAATTTCATTACATTTGGTGGTGTTATACAGTATACAATATAATTTTTTTTTTTAATTTTTTGCAATTACTTCAGTATTTAGAGAACAACAACATCTAATTTCAGCCTCTAAGTTCACTGGATAGTCAAAATTATGTAGATCAGAAAACCTTAAATCAAGGATTACTATTATAGTACTAGTACAGTACAGTGATGGAGAAGTAAATAAATTTTCATGACCTATTTGGACCAAATTTAAAGTATGCACTAGTTGTTTGGTGCCCATACCTTGGGAAACATATTGGCATAATAGAGAAAATTTAGAGATTTTTTTTAAATGGCTCCCAGACATACAGTATAACAAAAAAAAAAATATACGAGGAAAAGTTGTAATGCTAAATACAGTACTACCAAAATTGGAAGACTTTTGTATGTGGCAAGTCTGAAGGAGGGGCCTGATATGAAGAAGGGCTGCGAGACACTAGTGCCCTAAGCTCCAGTTCATGACACTCCCCTCCCCCCCCCCCCAGGAAGCAGCCCATAGCAGTTGTTTAACTCCCAGGTACCTATTTACTGCTAGGTGAACAGGCGCACCAGGGTGAAAGAAACTCTGCCCATTTGTTTCCACTTCCACTGGAGGATTGAACCTGGAACCTCAGGATTACGAATCCGATTGGAACACCCACTTTATAGGCCGGATTTACTCGTCCGATTCCATGAACAAGACTTCACTGATGTGGGAGGATGTGCAGATGTGCTTAGGAAGTTGGGACAAAGTTCACAGACTGGTGAAAAAGTTGCCTATCATATCATAGGTTAAAATTAAAGATTCTCTTAGTGACATCGACCCATAGAATGAGAGAAATATTAGGGGTATGACTGGTGACTGTTAATGTGGCTTCAAAACACATTTTTAATGATTTTCATACAAGGATGCAGTATTAGAAGTAACAGTTGGGATCTTGGGAAAGCTATTGAGCATATTTAAAATCAAATTCTTTGGTTCATTTTAGTTTTGAGATTTCAAAGTTTTTGTTCGCAAATATGGGCCTCCTGGAGGCATTTCCAATTGTATGGAATCCCTCACTGCAGTGAATTGGGGTTGGTCCCATATAGTGCGTTAAAGCGAGCTTGCACTGTATTGTACTATCATGGTCGTACTTACATGAAGACAGAGCTGAACAGTTTAATGTTTATTTGTGAATGAATCTTCTGTCTAATAACCTGACTGTTCATATGGAAAATAAAAATATAATATACTGTACTTGTTCCAGATTCTTAATGAAGCGGATATTGCTCGTCGTGAACGTGAAATAATTGAAAGTCTCGAGAGATCAGAGCAAGAAAAACATCGACAGCATAACCAGTACATTTGGGATGATGGTTTGGAAGCTAATGGAATAACTAAAGAAAAGAATGAGATTGACGAGCACATGCAATATCAAGAGGTATAGTCAATGTTTTTTTGTCACGGAGGTTTGCAACATTACAAGTGTTTATTTATTATACAATAATGACTTTCATGTAGTAGTAGTGTAGTTTAAACATTGGACCAAGGTTTAAATGTCTTAGGGACTCTAGTGATGAATTTAAAGATACTTTGTGATTAACATGAAAATTTTCTTACAAGTAGTATTGTTTAAATACTCAATTTCTACGGAGGTTTGTGGATTCTAATTAACAAAAATGTAAAGCCGTCCTCTAATGATAATTTTCCCATGGTAGAAAACTATTCAAACCGATTTTGGAACTTTAGCAAATGAAACTTCTAAAGTGTGAGTCACCTTAACCCAGTTATTTACATGCTTAATTTAGTAGAGCTGTTCTGACATCAATACTGCCATATTGCTAAATAGCAATACTGATACTGTACAGCATGTATGCATCTCAGATTCACAAGATAACAGCAGTTTTGGAGTGCTCTGCTGTGAACTTGTTCTTCTTGGGATTCTGTGGTCTGGTTTTTCTTCACCTGCACCCTGATGGTTCTTTTGTTTCACTGGTGTAGGTCACATTGGTCTCATCCAGTTTGGGTCTGGCCTTGATTGTTGCTCCGCTTTTGGTTTCTTGGAGTTTGTCAACATTTTTTCTCGTGTCATGTTGATTCCTTGTGTTTTGGTTTTAATGAGTTTTTTTTTTTTTTTAATATCATCAATGTGATATCAATGAGTCATCAGTGCGAGTTGTTTGTTCATCTGCAGGTGTTCTTTGCTTTTGAATGGATACAGTAGCTTCTGTTTGTTGCACTGTTCTTTGTTTGGGATGTATTTGCTGTAGCCATTTTTTCCTTGATCTGGAGATGATGGGGTTATCTGTCTCTTCACTCTCCAATTCATAATTTTCCACAGTTTTTCTGACTGGAGACTTATGCCAATGGGGTGTTCCTCCCTAGTTCCAGGTCTGCCTTTGATACTGGGTCTTCAAGCTCAGTATCTGAGCTTCATCTTTTGAGGCTCGCATCTTTTTCAGAGCATTATCTGGGAGCCATTCATTTGTGGTTTTCTATGTATCTTTTCATCTTCAGGTGTCCTGATGTCTGGTGTTTGTCTGGTGGGTCTTCTGCTGCCAAGTCTGTGGCTGTCTTTTTGGTAATGGTATATGGGATGCAATGGAGACTCTTGATGGTGGGACGTGGCCGTTTTGGCTGGTACCTGCACTCTGCCTTATGGTGGCAGTGGGACACTATTCCTCTGTTCTGCTTGGGATGTTCTGATGTTTTGTTCCTTTCAGCTGGGAGCCTAAGGCCTCTGCGTCTTATGTTCGTCCTCCCTGGGATAACCCAGTTGTTTTGATGTATTGATTCCTCCTCGGATTATTTTGTTGCACATTTTCTGGGCTATATGGACTGTCTGGGTCAGGGTTTCATTCCTTTAAGGTTGGTGTGGCTTTTTTGACTGCTTTTTTTTCCCTTGATTTGGGGGTGATGGCCCCAAAACCAGTGTTAGGCCAGAACTTTTTCTACCTTATGGCAGTCATTTTGCCTGGCTATGGTGGAAGCCTTTAGCTGCTTTGGAAGCTAAACCTGTTGGCTGCATTGTCCACAACTTTTATATCAGTTCAGGGCTCTTGTTGGTTCAACAGGGTGATGGCTTCTTACTACATGGTTGTTGGATGATCTATGGCCTCGCACAACAGTGTGGCACTCGGGCATTGTGTGTGCAGCCAATACCTATCTATACCAGACCCTGCTCTTGTGCCATTCTCTTCCAGGTGTGATGCCCCTCTTCCTTTTCTGTTGCTACTGATCTCATGTTTCTTTCAGAAAAGTCATTATCCTCTGCAGAGGCAGTGTTGGAGGTAAGCTATGGATACAAGGCTTCCAACAAGTATTGAATGTAATGAAAGACTTTTCTTGTAGGTCTTTTGTAGCTTTTCCACCCTGATGTTATCTTCCCCATGGGTGGGGGGGGGGTTGTGCAGAGGTTTAAGCCCTAGTTGCCTCCATGACTTGACGGAACCCCAAGTAACTTGGGTACACATCTGGTAGTTTGTTAGGTGCATTAACATTAACGTTGTTCTCTCTCGGCAATGATTGATTGCCTTGGTTCTTTCATTTCTTCCGGCAGTATTTTGTTTTATTTTGCCCTTCTCTGGTCTTTTTTCTTAGTTTTGGATTGATTTGTGAACCCCAAGCATCCTCAACATCTTAAAGCAAACTAGTTTCTGGACCAAGGCTTGTGGATCATTTCTCAAGATTGGTGTTTTTTTCCCTCAAGCAGCCTATCTGGCGGGGAGAGGCTTCTTTGGTGATTTGTATTAGCAAGCAATCACTGTTTTACCTAGAAATACCATACAAATAGTTTTCATTAAATATACATTGGTTTCTTACAGAAAAACTATTCCAATATCATAGTCAATACAGTACATTATTTAAATATTTTATTGCAAATCTTATTATGATGTAAATTAGTTTACATTTACATAATTTTATCTTTTTTATATTTAACTTCTTATATATATAGTGTAGTATAGTTGAATATATTTAATCTGCACTTCATTAATATTTGCCATATTTCAAATGGTTTTAATACTTCAATTTTGATAATAAGCAAAACTTATAGGTGTTCATCAAATCTTATTATGTACTGTATTTATGTTCTGTAAACTCTGACTGCTTATTTTTTCCTCTGTTCATTTTGCAGTGGTTAAATGTAGACAGGAATTCCTGCTCTCAGGAGTTACCTTCTGTTCCCCCGCCTCCTCCTTCACCTGTGTCTAACATTACTCGACCATTTGCTTACTTAGCAGCTAATTTACCCACTCCCAGTGACTTCATCCCCATGTCCCCACTTCCCGAAGGTGATGAAATATCTAACGGTGTCCCGCAACATAATACTGGTGCTCATGGCAGTGATGTTTGTTTTTCACCTCCACCTCTAACCTTAGCTCCTACAGAGTGCAGTGTTCCGAGCCTCACACCAATACCTGAATGTGAGGAAAATAACTTCTCTAGTCCTTTGTTTTCCATGGCAGAAATTAGCCCAATTCCAGAAATTACAACTCCTCATCCTTCATCTCCTCAAGTTATGATGATAGGCTTGGCTGAATCTCCAGAGGTTGTAACAAAATCAGGCTCACAGTTGGATACACCCGAATTTACCCTAACCTCTACTCCTCCCATTTGTTGTACAACCTTATGTACAGCCACAGAACAGGACAATGTCGAGCTAAATTCACAGAAAGATGCAGCGATATCCCACTCGCAAACCAAAGATGCTCTTTGTTCCTCTGAAACTGCATCGCTGATTCAGATAGATCTTTCTCAGACACCTGTACAGTCATACAATAGTAACCATGATTTAAATTTGGTAGATACATTATGCTTAGAGTCATCCACAAAATTACAGTCAGTATCGTCTGATCTTGCTGAGAGTCATAACTCGGTTTCTGTTTCACAGTCATCTACAGAAACATTGTCTTTGATCACCGAGGCTTCACTTGCAAATTCCACAAGTAATCTTGATTTGACTACACTTGCATCTCGGTCCCCTAACAGTGTTACTTTTACATCACCAGAGGCTTCAGAAGCAACACCACAAATTGATAGCTATTTATCTTCATCTTTACCACAATTGCAGACTCGGTCAGTAATGTTTACACATGATGGTGAAAGTTCTGATTTGGCCTCTAAAAAGCTGTCAGTGCTTTATGTTGAGGAGCCTCTGCCATCAGCATCATCAAATGTTGAGACAAACACATCTGATTCATCAATTAAACTTGTTTCATCAAATTCCAGCTCTAACCTTAATGTAAAGGATATTCCTTCTCCAGAAGCAGTAACAGCTTTCAGCGAGCTGGATAGCACTTGTACCAATTTGTGTGTCACTCGTGCATGTAGTGATGGATCACAACACACCCGTTGTGAAGAACAAGGCATATGTAGTATTCTAGAGTCACAGAAGAAAAATTGCCATGAAAAAACAGTCAGATTTAATTTAGACGAAACTCTTAGTGATAGTCAAAGTTTTTTTGAGCTTGATTCAAAACTATATGAATCTGATACTGGTGTGTTAAACCCTCCTAGTAAAAATAAAGACTCTTCTGTCATAGTTAGTCATGATCTAGAGAATTCTGCACAAAATCATCTAAAGCCTTTAAGTTCATTTACTAGAACCTCTACCCTATTTCCTTCCCAGGCCAAGAACCTTCAAACATCCTCTGAATCGGATAGAGAACCCGAGGTTTATATGAGAGTTCCCGTGGCCTCAACTAACGTCCTTCAGAGCTCTCACTCTGTCTCTAAGACCACAGACCCAGAGCATTGGCAGATGAATTACGATTCCTTTGACTCCTCTTGTACTGTTCTAAAGTCCAATATTAACACTGAAAAAACACATGAAGTTTTTGAAAATCATGTAGTGAAGAACGATACCATTGTGGAGGCACCACCTCGGCCACCATTCAGGACTGACAGCCAGACATCAGTTGAGACAGTGTGCCAACTCCCCTCTGAACCTGGACAGCAGTACACTGATCCCTTGGTGGCCCACAGCGGTACTCTCGACTACAATGATGTCACTCTAGCATCAACCAATTCACATCCTGAAGAGTATAAGGTGAACATCATGGTCTGAGTGGCACTGGGGAAAACAATGATAAACAAAAATTTAAGCAATTAAATAGATTAGAGTAATGTCTTGTGGTAATATAATATGTACAGGCAGTATAATTTATATTATGAAATGGCATCCTTATTGATGCTGGATTCAGTCACTTAAATACATTAGTTAAATACAATATGGATAATTATATTTTAATGTTCTATTATATGAACATTATATACTGTACTTTATTTTCCATGTTGAAATTGCCATGTGTTATGCATAGTAGTTGATATATTCTCTTTTGAGCATTCAGATTTATTTAGGGGAATCTGAATTTCCTGCTTTGAGTGTAATATAACACTTATTCATACTTGAAAATTCCACGCTTAGTAATACAGTAAAAGGAAAAATAATTGTATATTTGTACCCCCCTCCAAGATCCCTGTTTGTGGTGAAATATTTAATTTTTCCATTTATTTCAAGGCATGGATTTTTCAGGTATGTGGTTACCTTAACAAAATTCCAAACATTACACTGCTCGGGAATAGACTCTTAAGTGACTGTGTATATGGCACAAATATTGAGATGCCAGACATAAAATAATGTGCTTAATAAGAAGAAATCAATTGACAGTCACTTCTGATGAGAAGGGTGTCACTAAATTGTGACAACAAGTAAATCTTAAGTGTTCTTAACAATGACCAGAGTATGGAGAAAAACATAAAGTAAAATAAATCAATTTTATTTTATTAAAAAATTAAAAAAAAAAAAAGAAGGCAGTTAATTAAAGCATACATGTATAAAAATCAAATAGGTTTTGCTAAATTAAATATTGCTGCATATTCAAATTCTGCCAGTACTATAACATAAGGCAAAAGCTCATATGCTTAATTTTGTAAAATTTTAATTGTGTAGAAGTGATGCCTTAATATGAGCTGGTGCACAGGCAAATATCAAACCTGGTGTTAAAGATTTAACCAAATGAATACATTTTTAAGTGTATAAATAGTATGGGAAAAATTAAAGCCGTTTTTTTATTTTGTCGTCATAATCATCGTCATGGAAGTTACTGCATTCCTTATGGCAATTATACAAAGCCAGTTCTTTAGCAATGATTTAAGATGCTCAACAGGGCTTAGGATGCTGAGGAACTGTCCAGTTCCACTGCCTTTCTGTATTCCTAAATTCTAAAATATCAGTAATTCGGTCAAGAGGGTTTAGGAGAGAAATGCATGATTGTTTCCTCTTGTGCTAGCTCTATGGTGCACTCTTCGGTATATATACTTGTTTCGCTGAACCCAAGTTTTCTGATTCAACTGTTGTCTTTTTCATATTGGAATATACTTTTGAATGGTCATCAGAAACTTGATCTTTTGGTGATGGGATAAAATTAATTCTAAATCTCTTATTTTCACTATTTCTTTAAGCCATTAAACTTTAATGATCAATTCCTAATTTGAGAAATAACGTTCTTTTGTATTTATCCTTTTTTATGAGCTTCATCTATTTAACATTTAATGAACTGTACAGTAATAACATCAATAAATCACATTAATCAAATTTGCTTTAGATTAATAATGTATATGTTATACTTTAGAAACTAGCTGAACTTGAAGAGGAAATGATGCGACATGACAAGGATATGCTTCGTCGTACTGGGCAGCTGGCAGCCGGTCCTGCTGCTGCTTTAGATTCCCAGCCCTCCCATATTCCTCCACCTACTCCTTATGCCAGTCATGAAGAACCATCGCCATCTTCGTTACACCAACTTCCTCCAAGCATTGAAAATAGTGGTTACAATTTTCAGCAACAGTCTTCATCTCGCCTTCCCATTCAAGAGTTTTATACAGCTCCTGCATATGAATCAGTCTCTCCTGCCAGCATGGTGCAAAGTGAAGGATTGGGTACCTTTAGACCGCAGGGACAGAAAACTGCAACTCTTCCAGCTCGATCTCCTTCACAGTACAGTACACTGGCATCTCCACATCCCTTTTCCCGATCAAATTCCCAGTCCAGTCTTGATGCCCCTAAACATTCACCTTTACAAATGATGAGATCGGTGCCTGTAGCCTCCCCAAGAGAATCAATTCCAGAACCTCTTCCCAGAAGAAAGAAGGCACCACCTCCAACTCCTAGCAAATCTCATCAATCAACCAATGATATTAACACTGTTGAACGTCTGGAGGCCATAAGGTAAAATAAGAAATGATATTTTTTAATTTCTTAAACGTACACTGAAAGCAAAGTAATTTGATTTTTAAATAATTTTTTCTGCATTGCACATGCCTCAATTTTAAGATACAGTAATCATTGTTATACTTGTTTTGAGTGTGTATGAAGTGTGGTTGTGGGAGAGGAGTGTGAGGGGGGGGGGGAAAAGGGTGTACTACTGAAGTACTACTCCCCACACAACTATATAAACTATTTAGCCAAAAGTAATAGTGGGAATTAAAATAAGGTTTAGAACCAATTAGCAGCATGTACACAAACATACAATTAGTATAGTGCACAAAATTCACTCTTACTCGTTCCTGGCGAGTGCCCTGCTCCCAAGTGATCCAGGCACCAGTAGCTAGTGATGTGCTGAATGCAAAAAAGTTATAATAATTTTGTGTGGATGTTTGTTATATATTTAATTGTTTATAACGGTGTTTGAGGGAGGCATAGCAAGATGTTGATAATACTTTAACATTTGTGTAGTTGCTTATTATTGCATATTTATTTTTTTGGAATCAGTGTTATAATATTTCTTTATAAAACAGGGTAAACTCAAAACCCAGATTCATTCCAGATCCAATGCAGATTTGCTAATTATGGAAATTCCCGAATTAACTACCCTTTCTGTGGTTATTTGGCACCGACGTTTCTGGATTTTTTTTTTATACCAAGTGACAAATTCATGCATATTTAGATACTGTACAGAGTATATCCACAATGATTTTGGTGAATTGAACGACTGTATGTTTAATGCATAAATGTTGCTACACCCCCCTTTCACCACACACACTTCTCCTCCTCACTTCCCACAACACACTCCTTCCCCCCCCTTTCCGGCCACACACTCTTTCCCCCTTCCCGACCTCACGCTCCTTCCCCCTTCCCAACCACACACTCCTTCCCCCCCCCCCCCTTCCCGACCACACACTCCTTCCCCCCCCCCCCTTCCCGACCACACACTCCTTCCCCCCCCCCCCCCCCCTTCCCGACCTCACGCTCCTTCCCCCCCCCCTTCCCAACCACACACTCCTTCCCCCCCCCCCCTTCCCGACCACACACTCCTTCCCCCCCCCCGTTCCCGACCACACACTCCTTCCCCCCCCTTCCCGACCACACACTCCTTTCCCCCCCCCCCCCCCCTTCCCGACCACACACTCCTTCCCCCATTTCCCCACCACACAGTCCTCCCCCCCATTGCACCCTTCACCCCCCCTGCACCCTTCCCCCCCCTGCACCCTTCCCCCCCCTGCACCCTTCCCCCCCCTGCACCCTTCCCCCCCCTGCACCCTTCCCCCCCCCTGCACCCTTCCCCCCCCCTGCACCCTTCCCCCCCCCTGCACCCTTCCCCCCCCCCCAAACACTCCTCTCTCTCCTCCCCCCCCCAAACACTCCTCTCCCCCCCCCCCATTATATTTTTTTGATATTGCATATTGCTGCTTTGGAATGTGTGTTAATTATGCATATATTTTTATTATATATATATATATATATATATATTATATATATTTATATATATATATATATATATATATATATATATATATATGTTATATATATATATATATATATATAATATGCAATACTACTAAATGCTGAAATAGAAAATAATAATAATAATAATAATATGTTCTTGTGTTAACAGGGCAAGTCGTATGCCAACCAGTGTATCTGTGGCACCTGGGAACGAACAGGTGGAAACCCATGGACCATCAGTTTCACCATCAGGTCAACAAATGTCAAAGCAGACACTTCTGGCACTTTCAGCAATTCCCAAGCCTCGCCTCACAGATAACGAAAGCTGGATTACTAAAAAGAAAACGGATGCACAAAAGAGAGATTACAGCAAACATTGGCTCCATCAGGTAAACAATTTGTTTCCTTGTATACATAATTTTGCTTTGCTATTGTTTGCCAGCTACAGTACTATATGCTCTGCTCGGAGTACTTTCTCGGCACTAAAAGCAAATGCAGTACAAGTATTACCATAAAGGGTAGTTTACAATTTCTCATCCATATATATTTGTTTTGATTGGCTTGAAATTTAAAATGCACATATTTATGTGCATTTTAATCAAAGTCTGACCACAAGGCATATCCTTATTGTTACTGGGCTGTGTAGGTGTCTTCCGGCAGTTTTTGGAACAATCTTAAACCATCATTAAAATGAGAGTTAAGCCCTGGGTAATATTTTAAAACAAAATGACTAAGCAAACGTTAATACACTTAAAATAATGGTGATAAAGATAATAAGAATGTAATTAAAAAATAGAGCATTGTGTAATCAAATACGCTTTTAAGGCAGCATCTCAAACTCCCCTTAGCTAATAGTAGTAACAAACTAGGACTTTACTTCATACATCAGGCTCCTGTGACTTCTCTTCATGGTACAAGCATCTTAATAATAATAATAATAATAATAATTTTTATAATAATAATAATAATAATTTTTATTTAGGTAAAGGTACATACATAAAGAGATTTTACAAAGTTTGTTGGCTTTATAGAGCTAGTACATACAATGCCTAAAGCCACTATTACGCAAAGCGTTTCGGGCAGCATCTTTTAAAACCATCTTTTCTCCTTCACGGAGTTGAGGGGGTAGGGGGAAGGGGGTTGCAGGTGGGGATCATTGATCAATCCATTAGCAGGTGGCTGAGGTTAGCCACCTGCAAAAGATGAAAATCACTAAATACCTCGCCTCCCTCTGAGAAATGTTAGGTAATACTTCAATCGGCAAGCAAAACTCTGCAATGACTCGAGTAGTTGCTTAACCACCACTGCTACAAGGTGGCAACCACAATCATTTTGGGTCCTGGTGAGGTAAGCATCTCACTCTTGGAGTCCAAACCCCCTATATGCTGACACTGGGGAGAAGGAAGAGACAGGACCTGAATAGCAAGATATTGAGGTGCTACACAAGGGAATATTTGATTACACTTGTTCTATTTCTGGGCTAACCCCCATCAATAGCTCTCTTGATCTTATTTCACCATAAAGCCTCTGAGAGATTATACAACATTTTACATACCTGGCCTACTGGTATAAAAATACTATAATAACAATAATTTACCAAAATAAAATTTTGTCCAAGACTTGCCTGTGATAGTAGAATCCATTTCCTTAGCTACTGCAAACAGTAGATAGAGTAAAGAGGGCCAACTGTTGCTCGATGGATGGTTTCCCGACCAACAGATCCACCGCACGCATACCTGGAAAATCGGCCACCAGCCATCTGTTGGCATGCCATAAGCCCGGCCCCACCTTTCTCTGAAAACCCGAGGAAAGAAAATATGCAACTTGGCAAAGAGGAGTATGGACCATGAAAGACACATGCCTAATTAAATTAATTTCCTGCCAAAAAAACAAAAAATATAGTACTGTATCTTGAGATTACAGGAATGTGGACTATGGATCAAACAATGTTTTCAGATTTATATTTCTATAATTTAGCTTTAAAAATGTATACTGTATAAGTATAGTTACTAAAAGCTAAGTTAAAAACAAAGTTACATGTATACACCAAATTGTTGTAACAATTTTAAATTTATTTTTATTTTGAATTTTGCATTTACCAAGTATAGTATTACTGAGAGTAAACTTTATGGTATCATTGGAAAGACCAGACAAAGTTCTGTAGTTGTATTTGAGAAAAACACTTGTTTTCCCAATATCAAATAAAAAAATTAAATCCTATCTATAAAAACATTATTTTCACAAGTTGAAACAACTGTTAAAGTCTTGTGTATTTTGTAAAAGTTACATTAAAATTGGATAAAACTGAGGGCTGAACCTCAGAACTAAAAAAAAAAAACAAAAAAAAACAAAAAAAAACAGGCAAACTCTAATAAAACTTCTCTGGAAACCACCTCAGTTTGGTTCTTGTTAAGGCCTTAAGCTGAAATGGTAAACCCAAACCCATATGTTAGAATATTCTATTTATACGTTACCAATTTAATTTTTGTATTTGAAACAAGAAAAATTGTTTGGTAATTGATATTCAATTCCTTTAATGTGAAAATGGGATACAGGATAATAGTGTCAGAAGAAACATTCTGGACTGGTAACTTTCACTGAACATGATGCACTCTACATGAACTATTTTAGAAATGGAATTTGATTCTTCTGAAAATATAAATAAGTTTCCATTTTGCAGGAGGCGGAGCAAAGAAGACTGGAACAACAGGATCGGATTTCTCGCCAAAAACTCCCAGCAACTCAGCCACAACTTAAAACTTCGCAAAATGTGTCACCACCACAGACCTCACAACATTCACCTCCCACACAAACCAGAAGTTATCTTCCTACTCAAACAGTGCCCAGTTATTCCTCTCAGAATTCAACGCCATCATACAGTAGTTATCCTCAGGCTCTCAAAAATCCATCCCCAAGTCATAGCAGCAATAACAACAGTAGCAGCAGCAGTAGCAGCAGCAGCAGCAGCTGGAGAAACCAGGCCACAACATACCAACCTCACATGCCATCACCTGCACCAAATGGTGACAAAGCTCTTCCCGATTCAATTATTCATAATTTAACCCAGAGAGTCAATATAAAAAACAACAAGAATACGTACAATAATGGGAGGTAAGTAGTAATGCAGAGGAAATGCATAAGATATTTATTACAAACAGGTATTTGAGTTTTTCTGCATCTTTTATGAACTACACCTTAAATCATTTTTCAGTATTTTTTCTTAGCATTTTAACCCTCTAACTGCGCGGCCTATAAATATGACACCCCCCCAGTGCGCACGAAATGAAACCTCTGGAAAAAATTATTTTTTCTTCTGAAAGTGTCAAAAACCCCTCTCTGTATATGGGTATAGCAACGGAAGTTCGAAATTGTACTTACTTTGGCTGCTATGGGGTCCGAAAGATGGGGCGTGACGTCATCATTCCCCGTGAGCCAGAGCAGTATGCTCTCGGGGCCGGTGGGGCGCCCGGGGCGGGGCGCGCGAGTTGCCGCGCATATATTTTTGTTCATTTTTTGCACACAGTTCCAAATACATTTTATTTGTTTTTACGTGCTAATACTATGTATAATGAACACGTACATTACATTATGGTAGTAAAACATCCGTACTGTCCAAGGACACTGTTACGTGCATGACACTTGTGTACACATATCTTGCACATATTTACCATGTATCATGCTAATTTATGTATACTGTATATACAATCTATTTACAGACTATACACTGTCACACAATATATACATTCACCATCAACACATTCAGAACACCGCGAGTATGAGCAGCCACACCCAGCCAGCCCTCCCTCACTTCGCCAACATTGCCCCTCCCATCATACAGTTATTCGCACCAATGTTTCTTGTTCATTTATATATATTTACAACATATGTACACACTATACACTGTCACACACTATATACATTTACCATAACACATTCAGAACATCGCGAGTGTGAGCAGCCACACCCACACAGGCCCTCCCTCACTTCAACATCTTACTTCGCCAACTTAGCTCCTCCCACCATACTGTCATTGTTTTTATTACACTATTTACACATGTTATATATAGTTATCTACATGTTTTATTTACTAGAACTATGCAAGTAAGCCAGTATTGTGTCCAAACAGTACAGTGGCCATCATACACTGCATGAGAAATCACACAGCAGACAGCAGACGATGCTACAATTACGACGTCACATCCCTCACCAAAATAGCTCGTATGGGCCAATAGCAGGTGCCTCGTATGAGCCAATAGCAGCTGCCTCGTATTGGCCAATAGGAGCTGCCTCGTATCGGCCAATAGCAGCTGCCTCGTATGGGCCAATAGCAGCTGCCTCGTATGGGCCAACAGCAGCTGCCTCGTATGGGCCAACAGCGGCTGCCTCGTATGGGCCAACAGCAGCTGCCTCGTATGGGCCAACAGCAGCTGCCTCGTATGGGCCAACAGCAGCTGCCTCGTATGGGCCAATCCTGGTCACTAATTTCTGTAAATGAATAATTGACCACAAGTTTATTTTGAAAAGGAACCTAAGAAGTCGTTTGAAGATTCCTAGATGGACGAAATAATGCTGTGGTGCTGTGGCTAGCGCTATGAACATCGTGAGCAGCATTGAATCACTGATATTTGAACATTGTACCCAGTCATTATCCCACTCAGGCTCTTCTATAATACTATCACGGCTAAATAATACAGGTTATATATATATTTTGACATTATTAGGCGATGCTGTGGTCACACGCTGAACAGCAGAACTGTGCGCTCATGCTGCGAGCGCCAGCCTTGGTTGCTCACTCACTACTGAGGCTCTGACACCCGGCATTGTGGACCATGATTTTTTTTAAAGATGGCGTCTGTTTACAAGAGCCCTGAGGAAGCTGATGTGAACCCCATGTATCCGTGGGAGTTTTGAATGGAACGTGAAAAATAAAAACACCTTGAGGCGCGTTGCGCACCCGAAGCCTGGGCCTGCAGGAGCGTTGCGCAGTTAAAGGGTTAACTTAATAATTTACTTATTTATCAATTAGTCATATGTGTGTCCACAACTGTCTTTGATATTATCTTCTTTTCCTAAATCAGATTGGGAAGTAACTATAACAACAATAGTTATCGGGATGAAAACTATCACGACTACATGAATGCAGATGCTCTGAATGCTTCTCACACACACGCCCCACTTTATCAGTCTGGCCTGGGGCCTGGCCAGCCATCCCCACCTACTACTCAGCAACAAGATGCTAACTCTGCACAGGATCAGAGACTGCTCAGTGTCTCAGGAAAGAAGAAGTGTTCACATTGCTCCGAGGAGCTAGGTGTGTAATTTGTTTTCAAGATTTTGCTAAAAAACAAATGAAATATATACTGTATATAATTGTTTTATTTTATTTTGCAATTGTTTGTTTTACCTTGATTGTGAGTTGTATAAAGGATTTTCATTTCAGGCCGGGGAGCTGCTATGATAATTGAAAGTTTGCGGTTATTTTATCATATCCCTTGCTTCAAATGTTGTGTGTGTGGCATACAATTAGGGAACGGGTCAGCAGGTGCCGATGTGCGAGTGCGTAATCACAAGTTGCACTGCCATAACTGCTACTCTAATGATGAAGGTAAGGCTTTCTGCTCATCATCCGTCACTTCAGTTTAACTGCTACAGAGGATTTGTGCACTATTGGTTGGTGTTAATAGAACTGTCAATACATTTACAAGTTGCTTGTGCCACCACAAAAATGGCAGTGTTAATTTTGTGGATTGGTGTCCCTTGCTGACTTCAATCTGCTTAAGGCTCTGGCACCCCAGGGCCTCTCACAATATGCTAGGCTTCTATGAACATATGATAACTGGAATGGTGCTTTACCCCTTACTGGAGCAGGGAACAAGCGGAACCAAAAATTAACCCTCTACTAAGGCAATCCCATCTTATCAAATTACCAAACAAAGCTCTGTAGTAAACCAATAATGTACTAATTGATTTTCCGGACCACAACCAGGTGGTGGCTCGAGCCCCTCAAGCCTCCAGTGAGGCAAACACCTTACTCTTATCCAACACCTCATAAGTACCTATAGTATTTGCTAGTACTAAGGCCTATTAAGAGGAGATAAGTACTGACTTGTCTAGTATTGGTTGATTTTGCAAAGAAGTGGTAATACCTCTATAAATTGCTTGTGCAAAAAATTGTGTAACATTGTAGTTAGTGTTTATGTATGTATGTGCAATGCTTGTGCCATAGGTCTGCTTTCTGTAGGGGATGATGACTAGTGATATTCACCAATTTTGGGTTGAAGAAACATTAGTAATGATGTTTTCTCTCATCTTGAAGTATCTTTCTGGGATGGCCAGAGCAGTTATTGTGTGTGAAATGGCAGTTATGTCCCTGCAAAGATCTCTCTGTTCAAGGTGATTGGTTTTGCTTTGGATATTTTTATCCAGAGGATCCACTTTTGTGGATCCTTGGCTTTGTATGTTTCCTTCTCTGTTCATCAGCTGTCTAGCATGTCTTTTGAGTCTTTAGTCTGTCTCAGTCCTCATTTCAAGGCTACCTCTCCTGACAGTGATGACAATTAACCACCAGAATCTACCTTCTCCTAGATTTTTGGGTTCCTCATATGAGTGGACTTCTTAAGACCTACCCTGTCTTGATAATGCTTTGGAAGCCTGATTCTGGTGCTTGCAGCTCTCCTGGGTGTTCCATGGAGGATTTTTGGGTTCCTGCTGGTCATTCATGTTACCTCCAGCCCACCTCTGGAAGAGGCCGGGATGGTACTGAGAGCAAAGAGTTCTCTTTTTCTATGGCTGATGTTGGAGTATCTGTGCCATGCTGTTGAGCCTTACCCCATGTTGTTTTATTGAGCCAATGGGCGTCATCCTATTTTTTTTTTTTTTATTTCCTTTTGCCTTTCAGCTTTTGCTCTTGGTTGAGGCATTACTATATCCCAGGAGAGGTCTGGTAATCTATTTTATTCTCTCCAGGATTTTGGGGGGTTTGGTCTCATAGTACCTTCCTTCCTCGGTGCTTGACTTTTTTACAGACGCTTTATCCCCGAGTTGGCTAGTTACCAGCTCTTAAATCAGGTTTCCCAAGATGGGTTAGGTGGGTCCTCTTCATTGGGCACATAGCGAACACATGAACCGTGCTATGGTGTGGCATGTTCTGTCTCTCATTCGTTTGCCTCTGGGTTCTGTGATCTGGCTCCACTCCTGCTGCTTCCTGGTGGTTTATTGTCTGAATTATGGTGGGTCTCCCTGATCCCTTCCTCTATGGGGCTGGATGTTGTAAGTAGTACGTCATCTTGATTTTTAGGGTTTTTACACTCCATGCAGTGGAGTGTAAAACATCACTCTACTCCATCATGACACGACCTCATGTTCCTTCACAATATAACCGTGTGGAAATGGATTTTTATTCAGGATTTTTGTGATAGGAATGTGGTAATAACAGCAGTTGTGTAGCTGGTCATAGCAAAATGTGTAGACTATTGGAGGCATTGTATTGCATCGTGACTGATGGTGTCGTCTGCTTGTATCATGTTGTTCCATGCTGTGTTTTGATTTCATCACCATACCCACCAGAATTTCTTATTAGTTTATTATGGTGCATATAAATATTGATAGTGATGTATAACATGCGTATATATTGTAATGACAGCAAGAACACAGTTTATAATACAGAATGTAATATACCTGTCACGATATATGAGCCCCCTATTTTTGAGAATAACGATGTTCCACACATTTAACTATATAAATTCTACAAATTACACACTATTGAATAATATTACTGCAAAAAACTAGATATAAAACCATTGAAAGACATTGAAATATTAATGTAAAAATGTATTTGAGGCAGCACCCGCCACACTCAGCTGGCGGCCACTAGGCTGACCTTAGATACTTGTTCGATGTATATAAACTCTCAACACATTCTGTGGTTCATTATGGTGCACAAAAAAGCAGATAGTTATATATAACGTGTATGTAGTGTAATAACAGTAAGAACGCTGATCTTGGAATATAATATATGTAATTACCCAAGTGTAGTTACAGGATGAGAGCTACGCTCGTGGTGTCCCGTCTTCCCAGCACTGTCGTATAATGCTTTAAAACTAATGACGGTTTTGGCCTCCACCACCTTCTCGCCTAACGTGTTCCAACTATCTGCCACTCTGTTTACGAAAGTGAATTTTCTTATATTCCTTCGGCAGCTTTATTTAGTTCGTTTAAATCTATGACCTCTTTTTCTTAAAGTTCCAGGTCTCGGAAATTCTTCCTTATCAATTTTATCAATTCCCGTTACTATTTTGAATGTAGTGATCATATCGCCTCTCTTTCTTCTATCTTCTAGTTTTTGGCATATGTAATGCCTCTAACTGAAGGCTCTTGTCCTTCAGTTCTGGAAGCTATTTAGTTGCTTTCTTTGCACCACGTGTCACCATATATGAGCTCCATAATTTTGAGTATAGCGATATTCCACACATTTAACTACAGTATATAAATTCCACAAATTACACACTTTGACAAATATTACAGCAAAAAAAAAAAGAAAAAGAAATGATTGAGAGACATTGAAATACAGTAATTATCAAAAATTATATTCGTGGCAACTGGTTCTCGCGTGGGGGTGGTATGGTCTAGTGTCTTGAACGCCTACTCGCTCAGTACTCATAAATTGCTTAACTTCTCAGCTCCATCAAAGCTAAAGTATGTCATATACAACATTTTATTTCAGTTTCCCATGATCAATTCAATTTCTTTCTTTATTATGCACCCCCATGATCAGAGATCGCATTTTAACAATACAGTATAAAAAGAGAAAATAGTTTTTTGGAATTTTTTGGGGGTCCACTATGGGTGTGTTGTTATAATGCAGCACAGTGCGGTGGTTAATGAAGGTAATCTGTAGGTTGACAAATTATTTTATAAATATTTTAATATTTTTTCATAATCCCTTAGACAAGATTTAGACAACAAGAGTAGTTTAATTTTATACAATGTTTTTCTACCTTCTTTCATACTCATGCATGTATTTTGTGATGTTCTCTATTTTTCCACTGGTATCTCATCTATATACACTAGCTTCATTTAGTTGATACTAAAGCCTAGTTCCTACTATTGCTTACACAACATGGTGACATATTTTATGTATTTTCACCCTGCTGCCTTTCTTCCATAATTATCTTATCTAATATTGCATTAGTGTATACATGTATCGGGTCATGATGGAGGTCAAGGTAAGAATATTAGGAAAAGATGGGAAATAAGTGTAAGATTTAAATGTAGCGTATTCAATTTAATGTGTGGAGACAATTCAGTTCTAACAAAATTTGAGAAATGTGTATATGTTTAAAAAGTTTTATGTAGAGCAACTCCATTCCAGCACACCATAACGAATTGGGCCTGATTCTTTGCAGCCAGCGCTTTACTGCAACTGGAGATTAGCCATTTTGTTTTCTTTGAATACAAGAATAATAATTAATAAAGGGTATATACTACTACATTGTCGAGTACTGAATCTTATTGTTACTTGCCTATTAAATGCCTTAAGATAACTTGCGTGAAATCTCATGAGTCGCTATTTGGGATTAAACAGTCTACACCTTGAGAGAAAAATAGAGAGATTAAGTAAGGGATAGGTGGATTGAGGATGGATGGATGGATGAATGAGTTGAGGCTAGAGTTATGTCAACATCCTGTTCAATTCCCATCTTCTTAACCACATATGAGTGCATATCTGCATCCATTCGATGACTTACCATATGAGAAGGTGGGTATTAAGGATGAACAGTGTATGAGAAGTTGTTGGGAATAAGGCTAGATGGTATCAAGTTTTAAAAATTAGTATTTTTTATTTTTAAAGATCAACTCATGGGAAGCACTTTGCGCCTAGTTACAGTACAGTATGTGAATCTGGGGTGCTGCCGTAAATGTTTTCCTAAGAGTGGGGTGGTGCGCATTTTGCATGATGCTGTAATAACGATATGGCAAATGGATGGGTTTCATTTTGAGTATCTTTCTTTAACCCAACTTTCATATACTGCTTCCCTATTTCTTTTGAACTATTGTTTCCCTGTTCCATGAAAGTGAAAAATAGCGTACCTGAGGATGATAATATTGCATCATGTCTGCTTGCTGTTTAGTTGCTATTTGGGTCTTGCATTGCTCTTTCACTCTATTAATACAGTGTTGTACTATTAATACATTAGGTTGATGAAATACTGTACTGGATTACATGTGAGCTATGTCTTATATTATACAGGATATAAAACATGCAGTTAGAAGTTCACATTTTGATATAAAAGTCTCCAGATAACCATGTCTTTGGCTGCTGCCTTGGAGGAGTTGTCCCAGGGATAAGAAATAGTTAATAAGTCTCATTACTTTTCTTCACAATGTTTACCTTGTTAACCAGTTCCTTTGTCTTTCTGTCCATCAGCAGTGTATTTTGAAAATTGTCATTAATATTCTTTTTTTTTTTTTTTAGGCTTGGGTTGATTATATAATATCCAGCAAGTGTTATTAATTTTAGTCTTTAATATATAAAAAGAGTATAAACTAATTAGTGCGAGTACAATATAATTTAACAACATAACCAAGTGAGGATATGTCCTTGTCCTGCCTCAGTTTCATACCTTTACATACCTGTGTTTATTTCAGGGATGAAGTTCAGCAAAGTATAGCATCGACAAGTCACAATGATGAAACGTTTAGTTGTCTCTGGTGCCAAAACCTTGAGGCATGTCATGAGGAATTTACCACAAGAGACATGTCACAAAGAATGTGTAATATTGTGTATTTTATACAGTTTTGTTTTGTGTGTACTTTAACTTAGACTGAATCATAGTTGTAGCAACAGCATACAAAATATTTTTTGTTTATTTTATTGTTTGCTAATACAGTACTGTATGTCGTTTTGTTGAGTCTGGCAGAATGGTGTAATCGTTTACTGACGACAGACAAGTGTGGAAGTGTACAAGAATGGAGGCAATTTCATAATTATATGAAGACTTAGTAAGATCTAGCAGGAAATAGATCTTGTCAAAGTTTAAGAAACTTTTTGTTGTTGGTACATAGCTATATGTAGGCAGCTAGAAATTCTACTTAATTTATGTATAAACAATTTGCACAATCAAATATAATAAATCATCTATAAGCTGTACATTATATATTGTAAATAATAGTTTAGTTATAAAACTAAGTCATTATAAGTAGGATGATGTAAGGTGAGTTTTTCATGATTTAAATGAAGGGTTCTTTATAAATGAATCTTGTATATTGATTTAATATAATCTTGTAATTAAAACAATTACTTCTCATGAGTTACTGTTTCTTTCCTATTATATATATTTTTTTTACTAAATAATAGAAATACTGTTATTTCAACTACTACTCTTGATATACTTTTATAATTAGAAATAAAAAGCAGAGATGTATTTATATGAAGTGTCTTGTAGTGCAGTCATCTTGCAAACGAAGTTCCCGAGATTGATTCCCACAAAAGGACAAGACATTTGGGGTTGTTTCCTTAAACATTACTCTTCATCTAAATGTAAAAAGGTACCTGTGAGTTGGGTAACTGTTGTGGGTTGCATACTGGGCAAGGTCGGTAATTGGCCAAGGTGGACTTCAACAACAGGTTTCATGTTCTCAGGAGTGGTGTCCCAAGAAATATCAAGGTACTACAGTATATAGCAAATTTGAAAGATAAAACAAAAATGTAGAAGAGAGTGAAAAAAAGCTTGGATTTGTAAAGTTATTTAAAAACAAAAGTAGTGTCAACAACAAAGATGGCTGCCACAATAGGGAAGGTACTTGGCAGGTAAGTGATGATTGAGGATTTGCTAAAGATCTCAAGAATGATCAAAGGAAGGTCTCAAGAGTGAAATTACGAATTTAAAAGTGAGTATTTTGCAGCAGTGTAAGGAAATTACCATTGTAAGGAGACTTGACTGACAAGGTCAGTCAAGTTGACACGAGGTATAAATTAAGGAACTAGTAAAAGAAAATGAGATGTGGAAAATGAAGAGGGGGAGGGAAAGTTTAAATTTTAAGAAATTAACAGGAAAATGGATACTGTACATACGGAGAAAAACTCTAAGCCAACTGTACAAGCTAGCCAAAATAGTTAGGCAAGAATATGTTAAGAAAAACTTCATGGATGGCTCAAATAGGGGTTACTAAAGGATGTGAAAATGCAGAGAGGCAATAAAAGAAACATGTTCACAAGTCAAAAATAGAAATGAGCAACAGGAAACAGATATTAGACAAATATTTAAGAAAGAACTGTGTTATCAACAATAAATTAGTATAAATCACTAGACAGAAGTCATAATAATTTGTTTTTTTGAAAAAGGAAATGCCATCTAAGATACAGTTTTGTAAGATTTTGGTCCAGTGGGTTCACGGGGCTCGCATCACCTTTCTCAAGGCTCCGGTAAACAGACTCTATTTTGAAGAAAAAAACAGACATCATTCACGGGTGTGAACACCTCGGTACTTAATGAACAACCAAGGCTGGCACATGTAGCAAGAGCTAACAGCACAGCTGTTCAGTTTGTGACCATAGCATCACTTACAATTGACAAAATACAAAAGTAACTGCTGTTATTTTGCTATACTGTAATAGTATTATAGAATATCCTGACTAATAAAAACTATCTGAACCAGGTTCAGATATTGGTGAACACAGTGCTAGCACACAGGGAAATCTCTAACATGATACATATCAATGAGAAAATCAATTAGAGCTCTTAGGTGACTAAAACCCATAACCATTTGACTGCCAGCCATTGCGGGTTAGTCGCCCAAGAGCTCCAGTTGAATTTCTTGTTGATGTATATTATGTTATTGTGATTTCTGTGTAATTGATGTTGGAGCATACAGTGTTGACTTTACCCACACTAGAGTGTCTTGGGGGTTGCACATAAAATTTGGAATGGCTTCAGGAAAGACCTCCAGACTTCCTGTTGATTTAGTAGAATCCCAGGTTGTATATCTTATACCAGGTCAGGGTGGTGGTTGTTGGGGGCGGGAGGAGGAACAGTACCTTGCTGAGACACTCGCTCAGTGTCACAAAAAGATACTGTGACACTGCTTTCTACAGCTCTCACTTTATTTGTTACGGGGTTCAAGACTGAGAATCCTTTTCCTCTTGCCTGCACTCCTCTAACTTCGTACTGATGTCAGCACTACCATTTACACCAGTCAAAACAGGGTCCTCTGCAACTTCCCTGAGGACACTCTAGGCTAGCACTCTATCCCCAGAGGGTGGGATAGAGTGCTAGACATCAAGGTGAGTATGTGACGGTCCTGGTCGCCCTGTTACTCCGGTAATTATTAGGGTAATCACCTATGTCCATTGCCGAAGGAAAAGACTTCAGGGCTCTACACTCCAGAGTAGCTCTTGGGTATGGGACTACACTCCACAATCTCTCCAAATTTCGCCCTTCTCACTCAGTGGCTAATATATTATTGCTTGGGCTTCCACATATAGGTCAGACATGGCATAAGTTGGAATGAAGGCCAATGGAAATGCAGCTTTAAAAATTAACAAAACATTGAGAAAAGATGTGCAATAGAAATGGTAACTTACTCTGCTAGCCTCACTTAACTTTAAAGCAAACGGTCCCTCTTGACCCTCGGTAAACCAATGTCATTTTACTCAGTTGATGTGTTACTTTAACATTCAAATGCAACTTACAAAAAAAAGGTATAATTAATCTATCAAAATCACAAAACATTCAATAATAATAATAATAATAATTCTATAGTACTGTACTTGGCTTCACTTCACTTCAAATAAAGTACTTCACTGTCTTAAAGTGCATTTAAACATTACCTGACTTATTCATATGCATCTATAATTCTAGAGCATCCTGACACACAAATGGGAACGAATCTGCATGGATTTGCACATCGTTGTGCTAAATGGGAACGAATCTGAATGGAGAAATGTGGTAAGTGGGGGTATCACAGAGGTCCATTTTGGAGCCAACCCTTTTTGTCAATGACATAGATGAAAATATTACAAACCGCATCATCAGATTTGCAGATGGCATAAAGATTTATGGTAAAGAGGGGAACGAATCTGCATAGATTCGGACAGCCTTGTGCTAAATGGGAACGAATCTGAATGGAGAAATGTAGTACGAAGGGTAGTTACCTTGGAGTTGTTCCGGGGCTTAGCGTCCCCACGGCCTGGTCATCGACCACGGTTCCTTGTTGCTGGACTGGTCAACCAGGGTACCACAGAGATCCATTTTGGCGTCGACTTTTTGTCATACTGTATACATTATTAATGGTACAGAATATTACAAACCACATCAAGTTTGCAGATGACAAAGATTTATGGTAAAGTGGGAAATGATAGTATTGAAGCCTTACAAAGAGATCTACATGAAATCCATAAATGGTCAGAAGACTGGCAAATGCTTTTTAAATTGACAAATGCAAGAACTTGCATGTGGGGCATGGCAACCCACACCACAACTACTTTCGCTACTTTGTAGCCCAAAATTGGGCTACTTTCGCTACTTTGTAGCCCAAAATTGGATTACTTTCGCTACTTTGTAGCCCAAAATTGGGCTACTTTCGCTACTTTGTAGCTAAAAATTGGCCTACTTTCGCTACTTTGTAGCCCAAAATTGGGCTACTTTCGCTAAAATTGCGCAAAATTTTCGCAAAAATTTCGCAAAATTGGGCTACTTTCGCTACTTTGTAGCCCAAAATTTGGCTACTTTCGCTACTTTGTAGCCCAAAATTTGCCTACTTTCGCTACTTTGTAGCCCAAAATTGGGCTACTTTCGCTACTTTGTAGCCCAAAATTGTGCTACTTTGTAGCCCAAATTTGGGCTACTTTCGCTACTTTGTAGCCCAAAATTGGGCTACTTTCGCTACTTTGTAGCCCAAAATTGGGCTACTTTCGCTACTTTGTAGCCCAAAATTGGGCTACTTTCGCTACTTTGTAGCCCAAAATTGGGCTACTTTCGCTACTTTGTAGCCCAAAATTGGGCTACTTTCGCTACTTTGTAGCCCAAAATTGGGCTACTTTCGCTACTTTGTAGCCCAAAATTGGGCTACTTTCGCTACTTTGTAGCCCAAAATTGGGCTACTTTCGCTACTTTGTAGCCCAAAATTGGGCTACTTTTGCTACTTTGTAGCCCAAAATTGGGCTACTTTTGCTACTTTGTAGCCCAAAATTGGGCTACTTTCGCTACTTTGTAGCCCAAAATTGGACTACTTTCGCTACTTTGTAGCCCAAAATTGGGCTACTTTTGCTACTTTGTAGCCCAAAATTGGGCTACTTTCGCTACTTTGTAGCCCAAATTTGGGCTACTTTCGCTACTTTGTAGCCCAAAATTGGGATACTTTCGCTACTTTGTTGCCCCAAATTGGGCTACTTTCGCTACTTTGTAGCCCAAAATTGGGCTACTTTTGCTACTTTGTAGCCTAAAATTGGGCTACTTTCTAGCGCAAATTGGGCTACTTTCGCTACTTTGTAGCCCAAAATTGGGCTACTTTCGCTACTTTGTAGCCCAAAATTGGGCTACTTTCGCTACTTTGTAGCCCAAAATTGGGCTACTTTCGCTACTTTGTAGCCCAAAATTGGGCTACTTTCGCTACTTTGTAGCCCAAAATTGGGCTACTTTCGCTAAAAGTTGCGCAAAATTTTCGCAAAATTGGGCTACTTTTGCTACTTTGTAGCCAAAAATTGTACTACTTTCGCTACTTTGTAGCCCAAAATTGGGCTACTTTCGCTAAAATTGCACAAAATTTTCGCAAAAATTTCGCTAAATTGGGCTACTATCGCTACTTTGTACCCAAAATTGGGCTACTTTCGCTACTTTGTAGCCTAAAATTGGGCTACTTTCGCTACTTTGTAGCCCAAAATTGGGCTACTTTCGCTACTTTGTAGCCCAAAATTGGGCTACTTTCGCTACTTTGTAGCCCAAAATTGGGCTACTTTCGCTACTTTGTAGCCCAAAATTGGGCTACTTTCGCTACTTTGTAGCCCAAAATTGGGCTACTTTCGCTACTTTGTAGCCCAAAATTGGGCTACTTTCGCTACTTTGTAGCTAAAAATTGGCCTACTTTCGCTACTTTGTAGCCCAAAATTTGGCTACTTTCGCTAAAATTGCGCAAAATTTTAGCAAAAATTTTGCAAAATTGGGCTACTTTCGCTACTTTGTAGCCCAAAATTGGGCTACTTTCGCTACTTTGTAGCCCAAAATTGGGCTACTTTCGCTACGTTGTAGCCAAAAATTGGGCTACTTTCGCTACTTTGTAGCCCAAAATTGGGTTACTTTCGCTACTTTGT